ATATGGGGGCCATTTCGTTGTCATCCTATCAACCTTCTCGACATGAGACGATCCCAAACTGGACTTCGCCTAAGGGGGCTTCGAGAATGTTGCCCCAGCGATAGGGACCTTCGGAAGAAATAGAATCAACTGCTAGGTAAGCGAGTCGGAGTGTCATGTTCGCCCCTGAAACCACCCTTCGACGAAACTCTCTCCTCTCCAAATAATACTACTATTATCTTCAGCGGCAAAATCCTATATCTCATCTTATTCCTCATATATTACCTAACTTCCAATATGTCGAGTTACAAACTGCTTGCTAAATAAAGCGTCTAGGTATGATTTCCTTCTATGGTTCATGTTGGCAACGGACGTAGCTTGGCCGTTTCTCCGTGCTTGGTAGTTTCATATGCTCCTTAAGGAAGACGCGCGTTGGTAATCCTAGGACGCGGGATGTAGGGCGGGGGAAGCATCTTATTCCCGGATATTTCGGGAGTCTAGAAGTTCATTTACATGAGTACGGTGGGTGTCGATCCCGCAGGAGGTGCATGCGAAGTATGCAGCGCGTAGGGCTACCTAACACACTTCCCTATTCGGCTAGGTCGCGCATCTGGGGGCCAACCAGTCGCCTGAAGCGCCTCTACACTTATCAACTATTGGGAGGAGGGATTCAGTTGGGATCGACGTTGGGACGGTGGTCATCTCCCATGATAAATCTAGGACTTTGCGAGGTTAGCTTAGCCCCGTGCAAGAGCCGAACGATCATTTCCGATGGCCTGAGAGCGATACTAGTATCCTTCCTCCCTCGAGATTACCGCCATCGGCACTCAGTGTCAGAAACAGAAGTGGGCCATCACCTAGCGCGTCTGTGGTATCGGTATTGTCTGTAAACAAAGTCAGCTCTCCCAAATGGGTGTGAGTGGTTTGGATAAGATCTTACATGTCGGTTCTTCACTGAGATCTTTGGTAACGGCTGTGACCTGAGCCGAAGCTCTGATTTGTCCTCGTAAGAATCACGCCTATTACGCAGGGTGCACCTTGTACATGTATGTATGTACGTGCCGCTGCTGTAAAGCCCTCCGCAGAGGCAGGGTTCTTGGCAAGTAAGAACCTTAAACTTCGTCCACGTTTGACTCGAGGGGCCGAGCCCGAGATAGCGGGCGGCTTATGTTGTGTTGGTACCTGTGAAAGGGTAGCGTCAGCAATACCACGCGACTGGCTGGATTCTCGCGTCAGCCAAGGCCGTATAAAAAGAACGATTCAACGTTCACCTACCTACAATCATCACGAAACTAATTCGGAAAGGTATGAGATCTACATAGTGTACTGCGGCTTTGGTATCCACCGCAACCCCAACCTACACTAGTTACACTTACCTAGATCCAGTCTGTTCACACTTGGTGAAGACACGGGGTCCCCACGAGGACCAAACCCCCAAGCTCGGGTAGGGTTGAGGGGAATTGGATAGCCATGCGTACCTAGACATGGCGTTGTTCGTGATGGTTTAAATACATACCTATGATAGATGGCGAGTACTATAATTATGATTTAAATGGACTCAAAATGTTTTTGACGTTTGGCCTGAGCCAACCGTACCTACATAGCTGGCGCCATCACGGTAGGTGGGTATGAAAATAATGAAGAAGCATCGGCCCTTTTCCACGTGCTTTATCGTAAATATCACCTTTATACAGTGTGAAAGAAGTTTAGAAGAAACTTTGGAAACCTTGTTAAAACATGATGCTAACAAGTCCTAGACGATGTTTCAATGTTGTGGTGTAGATTTGATATTCTCAAAATGATCAAGCCAATCGATACGCAAAGATACGGCGTAATTTGATGCATGCCTAGGTGCCTGGGTACTACTACTAGTAGTACCTACGTACACAAGAGCCATGTGGCATGTGCATGTGCTGAAGTTTCAATGTTCGGGATGGACAAGGCTGGATAAGGAGGCAACGGAAAGGGGGGTCTTGATTGGTGGAAGTGTATCGGAGCAAATGCATTATTATAATGAGAGCTATACAATAATTCCAAATCCTTCTTGCAATTATTATTTTTAACGAATGAGCATGCATATCAGAAATCTAGTGTTGATTAAGATCATGAGAGTTTAAATGCCATGTACCGACTAGGACCACGAGCGTTTGGCAAGATATGTGACAGGTACCCCAGGTATGTAAAAGTATCAATCTGTAACTCAATGTTTCAATGTTTCAATGTTACAATGTTACTATGTTACAACCGTCAACTGGTACTTACGTAGGGCCGTCGTAGGCTTCTAGAAAATATCAACGGTACCTAGCTTAAACGGGGAGGAGGTGAGTGAATTAACTAGTAGCCAATTAGAAATCGGAAAAAGAGCTTGGTAAATAGTCTGTGCCAAAAATAGGCACTTATAAAGCACGTGCTAACAATATTCCCTGGGGCCTGGACCTTGACAGCTACATATATGTAGATAGTAGATACGAATACATACCTAACTTCAAGTTATCCCACGTTATGAGGGCTTAAAATGATGGCACTGAGGTACAATACAATACCTACTAGGATATGTAGGTAGGTACCTCGTTGTAGGCTTCAATGTTTTGCCCATTAATGGTTTCTGAAACCAAATGTCTTGCTGTTTCTCCGAGCTGTGTTCCGAATGTCTAAGCCTCCTTCTATACGTTATTCTCGAAGGATTGATACCGCCGTAAGGCACTCAGCTATGGAATACCCGTTGCCTATCTCTGTAATCGAAGACCATATGTACTGTACCTATTATTTAGTTGCTTCAACTTTGAACCCTTTTGCTTCTCCACAGCGTGACCCAACCCAGCCCCAATATACATGCGCCTTAATAGGTTCAGCTTCACTTCCCCCCTTAAAAAGATAGCACAGCCTACATAGTACTTATCAAGCTATAACAGTCAGTCAGTCGTCGCAAATACGCAGTACCATGATTTGAATTATAATCATAATTAATCATAATCAAGAAATATGACGACGACAATGAACACATTGATTATCGATACACAAAGCTTTTGTTCGTGGTGCAGTTACATCCTCAGTGATAGTTATGTACCTACATGCATTCTTTGCTCTGCCCGGTAAATTCTCAAAATCACATTTGAGACTCGACGATTGTGGTGATCTAAATTGAAAGCTGGGTCGCCCGTGCATAGACGATCGGAGAGAACCCTGCAAAAGGGAGGGAGTGAAGGATCCGAGTTTAGGCTTCCAAGTTTCCACACAATTCTTCTCTGCGAGTGGCCAACGTACGGGTGGCTTTTCCTAAAAGACTGCACATGTGAGTGAAACAGAAATCCCTAGATACATATATATTCAGGCAACCAGGTTAGTAGGTATGATTCGTGAGTACTTGGAAATAGAATTTGACATTGAAAGGAAATAACTAACATAAAAGACAAGAAAAAAGGAAGAGGTTCCGATTTTTTTCTTCTTTTCCTTCTCTTATCTGCCCCTACACTAGACGTACGCTAGACTAAGTTGGGGAAAAGTTCTTCGCTGCCTAATTTGGGTATCATGTTCTTTTTTTAACTTGGCACGAAGTCTGTTGACTTCAGAACCCTATCGATCACTTTAATAACTGATAGGTACCTGGGCAGGTTTTATTAAGTGACCTATCCACTGTATTGGCTTTTTTTGCATGGGCATTAATTGTTGCTAAGCCAATCTAATAACCTAATAACGGCTAGTCATACGGCTCGTAAATACCAGTCCCCAATAGCCTATGTTTAACAAGAGCGCCAGCCCTACGAAAGGACAAGGTTTGTACCAGGGAGTGCCAGCTGTGGAGAACGTGTCTCGCCGCTTTTAGTGGAATAAAGTGATACTATGGTACATAACTTGGAAATTCGGGCAAATTGAGCACAAAGTCCGTCGACTGGTAAATTTGTTGGAACATGGACATGTATGTACATACATTTGTTCTGTCCATAACTAATTCCATTAGTTACCTACCCTACCTACCCTACCTACCCTAGGTAGGGTAGTCTACAATATAGTTAACCCCTCTTTCCCATAAACCCCTAACTTACATAGTACCCTCATAACCTCAAAGTACAAAGTATATACACTAGGAAACGTCAATGACCTATCCATGGATCGATCGGCCGCTACCTCTTACCTTCAAGTTCTTCAATGCTCCTCTTTGCCTTCAATATTCTCTCTGCACTGACAGCTCTAGTTCTCACTCCCACGCAACACAGCGCACATGTACCTAGTTAGTGGTTAACGAACAACATGTACCCGGTACATCTGCACACACAACCAATGTCAACCATACTGCAGACAGGTCGAACAGGTCCTGACTGCAGATATGTACTGACTGGCTGCAGGCACTGACTGACACTTACACCCTCTACTCGCACCCCACTCCCCCCGGACGAGGTTACAGCGAAAGAGCGGAACATGCAATCAAGCACAAGCAGGCCCTCCTCGCATTTCCATGCCTGTTCAAAAGCTGTGTATCCATGCTCGCAGAATAGATACGTATCTACGTATGTACGTACAGATGTACCTATGTAGGTATGTACATGGTACCAGGCTCAAGCTACACATCCATGCATGATGTAGGTATTGACTTTCAACTGTACCCAGGTACGCAGGCACCCAAGTAACCCCGGCCCAGGCTAAGGCCAAGCAAGTCCCTTCCTCGAAGAATGGATGGGGGCTCACACGCAGTCCATCTCGAACACAGCTTCCTTAGCTGAGAGAAGGTCTTCTATATATTAAATCATCCCTCCCGCTTCTCAACCTTGCTTTATTCAAGTGTCCCACCAAGTTACCAGCCAGATCGGTAGTGTTTGTTAAGTTCTCAGGTAATCAATCGACTGTCTACTACTATATTATATATAGTATCAGATATCCGTTTCAACACTCTGCTTATTACTTTGTTCGTCTTATACACACATATACATCCACATCCACATCCACATCCACATCCACATCCACATACACACACACACACCTAGAGACTACATCGTCGAGTCGACGACAACATTGCTATGTACGGAATGTCTCACAACCCATATTCATATGCTGCAGCTCCGGCTCCGAGGCAGTACTCAGCACATGGAACCAGCAGCGCCTTCTCTAGCTCCGCCAACCCTGACGAGGATTGGACCAAGATCTCCGACCTTGCTGAGCGCCGGAGGATACAGAACCGCATTGCCCAGCGTAACTACCGTATGTTGCGCCTCACTACATCCCCCCCTTCATTGACCCAATGTTCCTAACGGTAGCTATAGGCAAGAAGCTCAAGAGACGTTTGGAAGACCTAGAGAGACGCGCCGGCTCTTCCGATGACGCGTCCTCTCCTACGGGGAGTGAGAAGCAATCCCCAACTGCTAGCCGGAATACCAAAAAGACTAGTTCATCCAAAACGCAAAAGTCGGCGGCTCCTCAAAAGCCCGTACAGCCGCCCCAGTTCACGCCACCCATGACCAATGACGATGAAGCTCTATTTGCTCACGGATACGATCCCCGGGAGCGCTCTCACACACCACCATCATATATTGGATATTCAACCTATCCCCCGCCCGACGAGATGATTCTAGCTCCTTACGGATCAACCCAAACCTATCATCACCCGATGACGACTGCTGAGGGCTACTCTAACTATATGGCAACGACCGTTCCTTGCACTCTGCCGTCCATGACGCATTTCAACGACGCCATTAAGAGGGAAGCATACCCGGCAGAGGAATCGGTGCCCCCCTACATGAGCTACGGCTATGTGTCTGGGTTAGACGTTAACGCATCAAATTCGTACGACCAGTCGAACCCTCATGTGAGTCATGTGCGCGCTTACCCTCGCCGAGATCCACGTAGCTGATCGGTGTTGCTAGACTCCGCCGCTTTCACATTCATATGAACACTCAGCAAACTGCTCCGAGTCTGGTTATGACTACCCGACGACGCCATTGTCTATGCCCGGGTCTCCCGGCATCGGACACCCGCGGCCATAGTTCACGAGGATGAGGGATAACAAGGGGGAAAATAAAGCCTTTCCAAAATAAACATGAAATAACGCATGGACGAGGCGAATGGGATCACGTGTGGTCGGGTTATGCTTCATTGTAGGGAGGGAGGCGCAAGATACCTTGCATCATGACGAAGGGCTCGTCTTTTTTGGTGCATACGATGGAAATACGGGATACTTGGGTTAAAGCGTCGGTGTTGTTTGATGAACCTTTCATATATACCTTGCCCCTTTAGATGATGCGTGTACGGCTCTCCCGAGCTGGTTTAGTTGACATTACGGGTATACCGGAAATTGAGACGTCGTTTCGGAATTAGAGATAATCCTCATATCCGCGCGTTGACAGAATTAAATGGAGTTTTGACAATGTTGGGTGTTTCTGTGCCGCGAGATGACATGTTCACCCTCGGTGATAATTCCGAGTCTTTCCGCGTGATGCCGCACTTTCGAAATGAAGAATGTTGTCGTATAAATTTATTGGGTGGACCATGTAACTCACGGCGGAGGATGATATTCTGTAGTACCTATGACCGATCGATTATTCACAACCATTGACTGACCTCAGGATCATCCCCTTTAGCAAACTTTTGGTCAAGAACCATGGAAGGTATGCGAAAACGTGCGGCGCAATTTGTCGGTCGAAGGGGGTACTATTGGTGAGGCGCAATCGGAACCGATACGAAGGATGGGGCGTTCATTGTGGACAATACGATTATCGGAGAAGATTTCGATTTCCGTTTCCGTTTCCACTCTGCCGCTCTTGAATCCTATTAGGTTTAGGGCTTGCATATTTTCCGTTCATCTACGGATTTCAACGTTCGCATGGCAATGCTCAACTTCAACTTGAACCTTGAATGTTGACACTGCCATGTGCAGTACTAGTATGCCATGTGCCATGTGCCATTTGCCATGTGCCATTTGCCATGTGTATGTTGAGAGTGGGAGAGTGGGAGAGTGGCTTGTAAAAGCTAATCAAGCCACGCCGCCCGCCGCATTCAATTGATAGATAACTAGCACCGAGTTTAATATTAGCGGCACGTGTTGACAACTACACTACACAGCTCAGAGCTACATACTAATTACATAATTATAATATAAGGTTATTAGCATATGTATATTCTACTATGTAGGAGCTAAGTTAGTAGTTACATGCTATTACATGGAATGTAAGTATTAACCTCCAGGTGTCCACGGGTCCTTCCCTCTCCCCTCCTTTCCCCCACAACTATAAATCATACTAATAACTACGTAGTAATACTTTTATCCCTTATCCACCCAGAAATCAACTCAAAATCTTACACAACCTGTACACAACTTGTACACAACCTGCTTTCAACATCAACACTACCCAGATGTAGGTTAGGTACCCTAGGACCTAGGTAGTACATCTAAGCTTCTGCACTGACCTCGTCTTCCTTCATCCGTCTTCTTATTTTTGGCCTTAACCCTCGAGCGTCCAACTATACAAGCTCACGTTTTCTTTCTCGGCTTTTTTTTCCTTTTCGTTTTCCTTTAGTTTAAATTGGCATATTATTCTGGTCTCTTCATTCAAGCAAGGCTTTAGTACTACACTAACAACTTCAAGGGTTCCGATCGCCATTTTTGTTACGAATCTATTTGTGCCGGCGCCTTCCCCTGAGGAAACTAGTGGTATTGAAAGATATATATATATATTTCTAGTCCAGCTTGTCATGCCGACGGGCGAACCTAAATTCTACCTCTTTGGAGGGCTAAAGTGAGTGGTCGTCCAAAGTTGTCATTTGCTAGTTATGTGCTCATACTCTCAACAAAAGACCATGGAACGAGCAAGCGTGGTCTTCATCAGATGATCAGGTACGGGGTGGTAAGAGTGAGAGCTACCTAATTCATTCGGCTGACTCAAGCGTTGCCTCATTCCGTGGCCACCTGGACATCACAGCCCTTGGTGGCGCCGGCTTCGCATCTCAGCGATCTGTGGACCCACAGTCTTGGGATCTATTCGACTACGGAGGGATTCGTCTTGGCGTGACGGAAAGCGATGGCAAGAAGTACACCCTCGTCCTCAAAGACGAGGCTCCTCTGAAACGCCCGGACGGTAGGCAAGAGAGTAGCATCAGCTGGGAGTATGACTTCGTGCCTAGCGGCACCGAAGTAGTTGCCTCCTGGGAAGACTTTAAGCCCAGGTTTCGAGGTAAGCCGAAAGACGACGCTGGTCCCTTACGCCTGGATCGTATTAAAACTATAAGCCTCATGATGCGAAGGTTCGTAACATACCCGCATGATAGTCCCTATGTTTCGCACTGCTAAATTCCGACAGTTTCTTCGGTGAACAGCAAGGCCCTTTCAAGCTTGGTCTTCGGTATATCGCAGCAATCAACTTTGAGGACAAATCGGAAAATTAGCAAGAAACCGGAGTCCACCTTAAAGGTTTAGTCCGTCATAACAGGGAGGTATATAGAAACTTGGATAGGTTTCTAATGGGTCCCACGACAACTGAATTCGGCGAGTGGTTCAACTCGCTTTTGAACATTTACAGTGGTGCGTATCTATACAAGTTAGATCTTACGAATCCGAAAGAATAGGTTTTCGAAACGAGATGTGTGACGTGTTGATAGTGATTCCATCAACTAGTAACAGCCGAGTCGATAATTTGATGAGGATGTATACCCCTTACTCTTCACTTACCGAGATGGTGTCTTTAGGACTCCTCAAGCAAGCACGTGGGAAATGAACCCGCCAAGTACTCGCCCAGGTAAGTAGTTTAGAATCATCACAGTTCCATCTAAGAGGGCCGGAATTACGAGTACAATATAGTTCCCCGAGTCTTATTTGTCCTACTTACGGGGTCCAGCCACCGGAGGCTCGTTTTGGCTGAAAGGCTATCCTCTATAGAGGTGAAATACCAAGTTACCACTAGACCACTAGCTGCGTACTTAGAGGTAAGTATCGGGCTACTATTGGAATTGTTCAAAAGATGGGACAACGTGAATTTCTACCACTAAGTGTCTGGCTCGTTAACTGAGCCAAGACATGGTGTATACACGACGCCAAGGTAGTTCATCAAGGCAACCTTAGAAATAGATATTAACCGCCTACTGAGCAGAGCTGAAATGATAGAGCTGTCTATAGACAGGTCTTGGTCTCTTCGCTAACAAAATCAAAAAGGGTTGACTATGAGCAATAGGAGTAACTTTTCCATTAGGTATCTCCCATTTCCCACTGAGTAGGCTCGATAATCTACCCTGAGTCACACGGCAAATGATACTGTGGCCATATTTGCTTCTAGGCAAATGTGAATAGGCATTAAAACCATAAATCCAACAATATAAGTCACTATAGCCCCAAAAAGAATTTGCCTACGCCGGTAGGCGATTGCTAACCACACCCTGTCCACCCACCAGATAAGTTGACCTGAGCAGTATCAAGATGGTAGTCTTTGAAGGTCATAGGACTCGGGCAGAATGCTACCTTTATGTCCTCAACAGCAGCAGATGGCAGCAGCGTGAGGGTGTGGATCTAAGGTACTTCTCCTCGTCGTGAGATGCCGTGGACTTGGATTTAGACAGCCAAAGGCTACTACTGCCTAACTGAAAGATTACACACCACACATCTCACAGCTTAACTCTTATACCAAGAGTTCATGGTGGCTAAGGCTAACGAAGCGGCTGCTGTATTTCAAGTTCAAGAGAATGGCAATTAAAGGTTTACCAGCGGTCCTCGAGTTGAGCGACTACCTACCTACCTACCCAGGTAGCGAGTATCGGCCCATTCGCTAAAAATTAGGTACGGACTGGATATGCGTAAGCACCACCCGGCTGTCGCCGAATGAGAAAGCCCCAAGCTCTCCCACCGCTCCGTCACTGCATGGGTAACACGGCATGGACGAAGCTGACAGGTCGGGGTTGCAAATGGGACCCAACGCAAGACTTGAGATCTGGGATTCGTCATGTGAGAAGCGGAGGGTATATCCGCGCTATATATGCGTGCATACAGGAACATATGCTCCCTCTCTACGATGGATAAAAGAGACAGAGAGAGAGATAGAGAGACATACACACACACACACACACACAGTCGATCAAGCTGCATTTTGGTTTATTCTTCACTACTCGGAACTTGACTCATTCAAGCCTTCTCTTCTTATTGTCCCTCCCTGCTTACCTTGGCCGAAACATACCTCTCTCTGTACATATTTTTGCACCGAGATAGATACCTGCCTACTCGCCTACCTAGGTAAACTCACTTTTCACTTGGGAAGTCCCCATACCAGAGACCAAAATGTGACAGCTCAGTTTTCCTTTATATGCCCTACCTACCTAGAGGTACGGTATATGAGTAAGACTAGGCCTTGCCACCGAAGAGAAAAGAAAAACATCCCCATGCAGGTTACGTTTGTAAGAATGCAAGTAAGCTTGCCTGCACCGAGCGGCCAAGTACTTACCTAGAGATGGGTTCGTGAGGGGGAAGGGGGGGGTTCGGGCTGCGGCAAGCTACCTCGAAGGAGAATTACTTGCAGGGTACCTAGGTAGGTAGGTAGGTTATCTATCGTAGGATAGGTACCCTACCCAGCCTTTTCAAGGTCCCGAGTAGAGGGGTTTCTTATATGCATACCTACTTACTTGCCTGCCTATATATCTACTCACATGACATAACGTTACTATGCATTCTGAAGCGGTCAGCATGGGGGGAAGAAACAACCGGAGATAAACCATTTGCTTTCATGGTTTCTTTCCCGCCTCTGAACCCCTGAAAGTACCAGTGGTAGATTGATAATCCTGCATAGCATCGTGTTCAACAATGTATATATTCATTCGCTCTTCCAGGCATGGTGTGGTAATGACCAGTCTTCTATCCCAGCATAAACCTCGAATCCTCGTAAAATAGGCCTCAAGGAAAGCTCCATGTGAGTTGCCTATACCCAAAACACCTCCCCACCAAAAAGAAAAGGGGGGCTGATGAAAAGAAGGACACGTATAAGGCAGGCCAAGGCAGTTGTTTTGATTATATACTAGGATGGTATATAGTAAACCTGCAGAATACGAGATATGCGCAGGCGAAGTTATGAACTCTTGCCCTATCACTGCTCTATGATCCCCGAAAAGCGCCAGCCATTGAACCCCGACCTGCCCATTCTACCAGTGAGGATTAAAACCGCAAGCCTATTTTCCCCTAAACGCCCTGAGATTTTCACATCAGATCACACCGCTAATATGTGTGTATTGCACAAGCCCCTTGCGTGGTGATACAATAGCTAAGTCGAATATATAGCGAGATGGCGACACTGGTAGAATGATTGCAATGGAAAAGAAAAAGGGGCAAAGACAAAGGCAAACTACACGTAGTTGGTGATCGTCAAAATCGTCAACACATGACCTCCGCTACTTGAAATACGCGATGCTAATCCTGTTTCATCATGCAAACGTATGCGAATTGTGTGAGATGGCAAATGAGCCCTGACCTTCCTATGCTTGGTGCGAGATCAGCTTATATATCATAGGCTGGCGCTGAGACATAGCCTTAGGCGACGCCTGGGCTGGTGATAGAGGATTTTGGTTCCATTACGAGTTCAGGGCTGGCCGATCTGTCATGCTCGGTTTCACTCTCGCTCACTGAGACTTAAATGATTAGTGATTGCGGTTACTACGGTGTCAGGAAGAATAGTATAGTGTGGCCCAAGTTCTTTGGATCCGCTGTCAATAAGTAAGACCAGAGAGGCTGGTAGGTGCCTGTGTTGTGCAAAAAACAATTAGACGGTAACTGGAAAGGTATACTCACTACTTTCATAGCCAGTGTCAGTGTCAATACCCATGCCTACAACGCCACGAGTTACCACCAGACATCGTTCGACCATTTGGTGCCTGATTTCTGGCTCAAGCCCACAATCCTTGCCGGTCCAAATCCGTAGTGTACCGGAAAGTCGTTCAAGTGTATCTGCGCATGCCTCGGCGGCAAACTCGTGGCTAGCTAATCTGTCCATCAATTTGAAGGTGGCGGTGTAGCCAAGCAATCCCATGTCGCTGAGAGGGTGAATCTGATCGATTACACCATAGATACCAACCGGTTCCTCGGGAGGAGAAAACTTTTGAAGATGTGCAATGGCCATTGCACAAAGGAGGGAGGTCCGCATTTCGGTCGTCATAATGAGTGAAGGTGGCAGATCCTTGATTGGGGTCGACGGGATGGATGGGGTAGAAGGTGTTCCGCGACCAGAACTACCCGCAGAGCCGTTGGATGAGAGGACCGGTGTGACAGGTCCAATAGCTTGCAAAGCGGCCATGATATTCATGTTGCGTTTCTCCTCGAATAAGAGTGCTCGTGCAACTAGAGCACGATTTTGGGCGATTGATCCGATGGGGGCGGTCCTGATGGCTAAAGACACATCATCTTCGACTTGCTGAGTCTTGTCCGCCTCATCATCCTCTCGGATAAGTAGACTGTTCGTAAGAGCACCTTGTAACATCATATTCGACCACCAAGCCGCAACTGCGTCCATAGGTGATCGGACTGCCAAATCATCCACTACCGTGTCCATACCATCGGTAATGCCGATCGCATTGTACTCAGTCCGACGGTTCCAAGCAAGATTGTGGGCTCTCTGGACAATGCTTGGGTTTAAGACAACGTCACAGTCTTGTTCAAGCAAGGCAGCTAGATGGTCGGGTAGCTCATCATCTGATTGTTCGTGTCCACCACGACGGAGCTGTGTGAGGAGTCTATGAAGTTGTTTGGCCTCATTCCACTTCGCCCTGGCCAACTTGGAGGCAAATGTATCAAATATGCCAAGTTGAATACCAGAAAGACCAACTTCCCATAAGAGGACACGAATGTGAAGTGCTTTGAGCATTAGTCGCTGTGGAGTGGCGGGGAGAGTCCCCGAAGCGAGCAAAGTCAACGTTAATCGGCTCTTACTGATTTCGACATCTCCCCCGGCTAGCTGGGCATCTAGAGCGATTGTCCATGCCTTGACACGGGCAATTTCCTGATCTTGGGTGAGGCCGGTTATGGATTGATAGCCGTTGATCCCAATAGAATTCCGTAGACTCAATTTTAGGGTTTTCAGACAAAGCGCAGCAGCCTCAAGGAAGAAGTTGTGACGGGGAACCCAGACTGTTTGTATGGCTGTGAGCCAGGCCTGGCGACGTACATGAATGGGTGACGCCAAGGACGGCACTGCTCTTAAGGACGCAGTTTTTTGTTCTTTAGAGCCCTCCATGCTTTGAGCCCTACGTTCCGCAAGTGAAAGAACAACGGCCCACCATATACTGCAAAGCAGCAGCACGATCTTGAACGAGTATAATACTTGTGCGCTCTGCACGTGGTATCCCATGAAATTTATGCTCAGCGATGATATGATAAATCTGAGGAGCTGTACAGGAAGGGCGAAAAGGCCGCGACCCTCAGGTGTCTCGTTGCTCTGTTCATTCTCCCGCACCGACTCTAGAAGCATTAATCCAGCTAGGGAGCCGACCATCAACTTGCCGAAGTAAGGACCGGCATTTTGCCAACCCCTGGCCTGTATATGATGCTGCTGTTGTTGGATCTGTTGTTGACGTAGTAGAGCAGGGCTACCTCCGTAAGGTTGTTGGGGAACTGAATAGGGCTGACTTGCCGATAACTGGGCAGCCAGAATTCGCTTCATGTCATCCGGTACTTGGATCATCCCCTGGGGATCGGACCGGCCAGGCGTGCCCATCGTCGAGTTCGCGAAACCATTGGGCTCTTGTGAGTATTGTATTGGCGTAGACTGTATAGGTGTGGACGGAGGGCCTTGTTGCAAAGGACTCATTGTGCCGTTCATCGCACCCGCCATAAAAAGCTTTTCGAAGGCCGCTATTCGTTGCTGCATGGCCGAATTTTCGTCGATGAGGCGTATGTTCCTCTTCTCTAGATGCCGGATATACTCAGTAGCCTTGCTTAGAACCTGTACAAAGTTTAGCCACGCTGGACTTTCAAATACTTGCAAGAGAAACTGACCGTTGCTTTATTTAGTTTATGTGCTGGCGTTAAGCCGTGTAGTTCCTCCCTATCTCCCGTCGTATCCTCTCCTCTCGCACTCTTCGACATGATGCGTAAACTTGGCACGCTATCTCGAAGAGCTGCGATTTTATCGTTGAGATTGGTGCGGTATCTCTTCTCGATCATATTATGAGCTGTCTTTTTGACGGGTTGATGACCCTCCAGCTCGTCGTCGTCGTCATCGTCAATCTCGGCCGACGATTTTCGTTTGCGACAATTTGACTTGGACGACAGGCTTTGATCTTCAGGAGAGGATATCGAAGACGACTTGTACACTGGGCCGACCGAGTCTGGGCTTGCTTCGCTCTTAGGAGAACGATAGTGAAGTTGCGCGGGCATAGCGATATTTTGCAGTTTTAGCCGTTGTTCGTCAGAGAGACCTCCCGCTGCTGTGCCATTCGGACGGACCTGTAGGGCGCCGGTGGCTCCCATTGGGCCTGCTGTTGGGAGTGGGTTTGACGGGGTGGTAGCGATGGACGACGGTACGACTGCAGCGGATTGCTGCCGAGGCAGCGGCGGTTGGGAGGAGGTGAGGCCATGATCCAGTTCAGACTGCTGCTCTATGTTCCAGTCATCTTGGTAAAATGCATTGGTATCGTATGTGTCGTAAGGAGGCGTGTCCTGAAAGGTCCAATTAGGGTCGGTGTAGAATTGCTGGTTAGTATTGCCGGAGCTGGTCAATGTGCTATCTCCGTTGTTCGGGTTGTTATTGTTATTATCTTGATAATACGGGTCATTCGGATCGTCAAGACCGAAGAGGTCGGTAGGATCTTGCTGGTCGGTCATAATGACGGTGGTGCTTGCGCTGGCGCTTGCGCTTGTGCTGGTACGATCATGAGATGCAAGTATGGTTCGACATCAGCAGGCACCACCACAAGTTTCTTCAGCCGCTCTCGTCCGAGTTAAGACAAGGGAAAGGAGAGGGGTTCGCATAAGGCGGAAACTGACTAGGGGTACTCAGTCGTGAATGATCTGATCGTACGCCTGGAATAGTATAGTGCCAGTATGATATCTACAGATGAATAGAAAATTTGGATTTGGATTGAATCGGATTGGTTGGATTAAATTTGGATTGGTTGGGGGCTGGGAATTGGGCTCACGCAATCTGATCTTGAGGGTAAGGTATATAAGGACTGGATGGGGCCAGTGATGGAAAAAAGGTTGTGGTTAGAGAAGAGTTGATCGCTCTCCTCGGGTTTGAAGTTCTGGGGGGGGGGGAATTATTGAAACAGAGCGCGAGTAAGGGAAATTTGCTAGGTAAAAGGTAACTAGTGGGCAGTCTGGCATCAAAAGACGGAAAAGCCTGCTACGCGATGCCAAGAAGAAAGACCCCGTAAAATATTCAAGTACTACCTAGTAGGTAGGAATAAAAGATGGGGGGGGGGGGGGGGTGTTTATTTTTTGAGGGGGGAAAGAGTGGCGGGAGAAGGGAAAAAAGTATACCATGTCAACGGTATCATGGATTGTATGTATTGTGCATAGTACAATACATAGTACATATTGATAGTACTGTAATAGAGGGCAATTCAATGTTTAATGTTAGATAACTAGACGTTATGTTCCAAGGGTACCTAGTATGTAGTTAAACTTGAAGACGTCAATTTCAATGTTGCTCAATGCATACAACAAGTGTACTAAGGCACTCATTCACTCATTCACTCACTCACTCACTCACTCACTCACCCATATGTGCACTCATTCAGTCATTCAGTCATTCATTCATTCATTCAATTCACTCACTCATGTATTACTCACTTACTCCTCTCCCTCGGTTCCTCCCTTATGCTTTATTTATTAATTATCTTCATCATTATATCTCCCTCTCAGTCCACTTCACTCATGTCGACAGGCACTTTGTCGTATATGCCCTATACGCATAACAATATTTAAAGATATCATAGATTTGCTCACCCGATATCCTGGGTTCGATAGGACGGGAATTGTTAACGAGCCACGCGAAAATCCCAATTAATAGTGTGTACGAAAGAAAATCCAAAAATAAATTGGGGGAATTTCTCGATTGAGGCTTGAGGAAATCATACGATGCAAGAACAGGGTCCCTACCTAGTAGTACGTACCACTAAGAAGCTAAAAGGCAAGATAGGCAAAGCTGATCGGGGTTAATCGAGACACTCGGACCTCCATGCGACCTTTTTCCCTACTGGATCTTTGTCCCAGCTGTCTGGGCCGTTCTTATTGGGAGAAAGGACCTGAAAGGTAGATGGGAAATGATGGGTCTAGCCACTGATATTTCGCCGCTCCAGCCACATCACTATGTACTTTACATACATACATACACCTCTCTGCCTCCTCTCTGGAGTCTCTGCCTCTCTAGTATATACTATATATATATATACACACGGGCTTGCTTCGGGTGGCTGCCTACAGGTGCTAGAGATATATCAATATTTGATTAATTGTCTGAACAGTCTGAATTTCTAGTACAACTGCAAATCAAGTTCTCACTCAATAATTATTCAATTATTTCAACCCGACCGACCCGCTCTGTCCGACCTAGTCAACTACCTAGTAGGTACTAGTATATCTATCTGTTCAGCTTCTGTCTTGGGTATTACATACTCATAACGCGAGTCGGATAGGCCATATACGACCTCGGATTCGTTACGTACATACTTACATAGTACCAGCACCTTTACCTACCTATCTATGTACCTATATATCGGTATTTTGTATGCTAATCTTACCTAGTAGTGATTGTCATATTGATCTACATCATACAGTACCCGATGTATGTATGTAGAATATGTATAGGCATCCCTGTCCATAATAATATAGTCGGGGCCCGGAGTACCTAATATACCTATGTAAGCTTTCAAGTACATACGATTACTAGGTACGTATACATTGTTTTTGATGGGAGATATCTACCTATGCTATGTAGGTAGGTCAAAAATAATGTGGAAAGTCTACGGGGAGCTTAGTAGCAGATAGATATTATATAGTAGTTGGCCTGAGAATAAAAGGATGATTTGGCTATAGCCCAGTCTACAATGGAGATTCAACCATACTTGGTATATTACCTCCTCCAAAGGGGCCACCAAAGGGCTTCAAATTGTATAAAAAAAAACTATGAACAAGTATAATAGGATCCATCCAAGCCGGATAATTTCCCCTATCTTGTTCAGGTTTTGAAAATAGAAATCCCACATGAGACGCCAGGATATAATAAGCCCAGACCCAGATAACCTCGGGAAGACCCGTTAACCTTACACTGTAAGCTTGTAAAGAAAAGCATACAGATCACAATATCGTCTACCATATTTCATCACTATTCTTCACCATCTCCATGGTTGGTGTTTTGGGTTGCAGTTGCTTCATCCTCTTTCGATCTGCCTTCGTAACTAGCGATGGTGTAACCGGGATTACAGGCGAGAAAGGCTGGTATGGGGTATAAGGCACTGGCGCGCCGGTCCAAGGCGTTCGAAGTCCCGAAGGTGACAGGGGAGCCCTTTCGAATGTGGTTTGCTTGGTGGTTTGCGCAGAGGGAGAGCTGAGCGCGGGTTCATACGCACGTAGCGGGAGAGCACCGCCAGTCCGGACTGCCGATGGTGCGTTTGGCCGCGAGAAAGATTTGTCTGTTCGAGGTGAACTTGGGACTTGGAACGTCGACCCGGGCTTCGGTGATGTTGGCAGAGACGGAAAACGGGTTACGCTCGGTTTCGGGGACGAGGGTAAGCCGACAAGAGGTGTTGTGGATTGTTCCGAAGCAGCCGAGGTGGGATCGGGCTCCGTGTACTGAGAGTTACCACGCAAATGACCTAATCGCTCGTCGATGCTTTGCGTGCTCTCCGGGGAGAAATCAGGTGGGGTAATAGGAGCTATAGAGGGGCGCTTGCTTGCCCGTGCATATGGAGCCTGATCAGTAGGGACCGGGGGCGGAGATGCTGGCGCGTAATGTCGAGGAGGAATCGCACTCATTTCTTCTCCCTCATAACGTGGAAATGTGCCAGACATTGGTGTCATGATCGGCGACGAAATGCTGATGGCCTTCGAATTCTTCTTCCGAGGAGACTTGAAAGCGGATAAGAGGGAGGACGTCCGAGATTGGTGCTTCTCTTCTCCTGGCTGCGCCGCAAGATCAAGATTCGCAGGCTTGTTCTTGCCCCTCTTTAGGATGCCCTGCTTTGGAGGCTGCGATTGCGAGATTGGTGGAGGCGGTTGATCCAGAGTTACGCCTGCCTCCTTTGCGGCCTCTTGCTCCATTACGAGCCTGTACATCTCCTCTAGTTGCTGTTGCGCCATCTCGCGATCTGCTGCAACGACTCGCGGATCGACCAAGGGGTTGATTCCGAGAGTGCTTGTAGAATGCAAAGAAGGAACAATGTAAAGACTTGCCGAGCCTTCTGGTCCTCCTGGACTTACTGGGCTTAAAGGGGTTAGAGGTGTTGGGTACGAGAAATTCTTGACAGGCGATTTGGGCGGATCAAGACCGGGTTGATATTGATTTTGGGCGCCGGCTGGCACGGGCGGTGGATATGGAAGTTGATACGGGTATTGACTTTCCTGGTCTTCCTGTCCGGCTGAGAGATGTTCGCGACGTTTCTTCGCTAGGAGAAGAAGGATAGCGGCGACTAAAATGAGAGAGAGAGCATATGATCCGACTATGCCACCAATCTGCGCAGGAAGATATTTTGTATTCCGAAGGGCTCCAGCTGAAAGGGAAGGACCGTCTTCAGGAGGCGGTGATGGGGCGAAGTAGTTGCTTTGGAGGTCTTGTATTACGGTGGCAGAGCAGAAAGGAGTGAAAGTCAAGGAGAACAGAAATAGTACAGAGTGAAGCGAAGAAGGCCTTCTATAAAAACTGGGTTGCATTGTGTGTGGCACAGATCTTCTTGAGGAATACTGTATCCCAACTCCTTAGTCAAACCTCCTGAGGATTCAATCGAAACACATCCTGACATGAATCTGACAAGATCAAACGCAAATGTTGGGAGGACAAAGGGTATATAGCGGCTGGTGATGTTCGGTAGTGTGTCGAAGTGGACCAAAATCTGCGATTCCAACAAGCGAAAATTGACCAAAATTGGCGCTTTGGGTGTGAACTGGCCTCTCACTCGCCAGAAACTTGGCTTCGTGCATAATAGCCCCCAGGGAAAGCGCCCAGTGAGAAGGGTAGGTTGCCATATTGACATTTGCTAAATGCAGTTGTTAATGAGATTCGTCAATTTTGGTTGGATAAGGGTAACATAGAGAGAACAGGGGAACAGGGGAACAGGGGATTTAAGCGCCGACGAATTGAACTTGGAACTTGATTGGCCCTGGAGTTGCACAACATCACCTACCCCGCCGTGAACACCTTTGGCCCCCCCCTTGTTCCCCTGCAGGTCACCCTGCCTCTGCTCACCTCGCCCCCGATTGGCGAGTGGGTATGTACTATTGAATTCGTAATATTGATAAGAGAGCGATGATATAAGACGCTGACCATTTCCCTTTTGAACCTGTCACATAACCCTCGAGGAATACTAAGTTGGTTTTTATCATTATCATTATTATTATGCCGTCAAGTTGAAATAATTACGCGAAGTCCATGTGATTGATGAAGAGTGCCTATACTATCCATGGATGCAGATGTAGTAGGCTAACCGGTTAGATACATACTAATTACATGCATACATATGTAGTATGTATCATTGATTCATCAATGTTGTAAGCTTATAAGCTTAACTCAAGGTTAACTATAACTCAAGGTAACTATCCTTGGATAGAAACTGGTGGCCAATGATTGGTAGGCAACATACACTAGGGTGGGGGAGAAGCTAGTCACCTGACATGGCGCTTGCCAGGCATCTAAGTCGGCCCTTAAACCCATCCGACCAAAATACCCGTCGCGTCTCCATCCAGTCCATCGGACTCCATCCTCTCTACACGGTACTACTATGTATAGACATAGTATGTAGTAGCCTCCAAACAAATTGAACCTCTAATCACGTACATATGTAACATTTAACTTTGAAGTTACTACATGTATGTACCTACGTACCCTTACGTACTCCTACTATACCTATTACTCTAACCTCAGCATCTACTCTCATGATTGTGTCTTACTCTACATGATCTAACCTCCTGATGAGTGTCACCTCTCAGTCATGTCCGGCTCTAATACCGATGATTTGTTCAAATCGTTGAACAAAGCCCAATCTCGCGCAGTCAGCTCCCGCGCTTCCACCGTCGCCATACTAGCAGGGCCAGGGAGCGGCAAGACCCATACTCTTACCTCTCGAGTCGTTTGGCTTGTCAACCATGTCGGCATCCCACCGTGCGACATTATCGTCGCAACTTTTACCGTCAAGGCCTCCAACGAGATGAAATTGCGCATTGGTCAGGCACTTGGAGATGGCCGAGAAAAGAAGATTGTACTAGGCACTTTTCACAGCATTGCTCGCCGATATCTGGCTACATACGGTCGTCATATTGGCCTGGACCCCAAATTTGGTATCGCCGACGACTCAGATTCAAGGGGTATTATCAAACGTATCTCCAAGAGGCTGGGCTCACCAATTGAGCCTGGTGTTGTTCGCGCTTGGATCAGCAAACGCAAAGCTAAAGGAACGTCGGACGAGCAGACTGTCAAGGCAAAAAATGGGAAGGACCTACAATCCAAAACACTAGAAGAGTGTTACCAAGAGTACCAGGCCCATCTAGATCGATCCAATTTGCTTGACTACGACGATCTGCTTATTCGTTGTGTTGAACTCCTTCGCAAATATCCCCGCTGCGTCCAGCACATACAAACTGTGCTAATTGACGAGTATCAAGATACAAATGGAGTCCAATATGACCTGATGAAGCTTTTTGCTCAAGAGAACAGGCGGATCACCATTGTGGGAGACCCAGATCAAAGTATATACGGTTGGCGATCGGCAGAAATAAGAAATCTCCATCGCCTGCTCCGTGATTTTCCTGGGACGGACGAGATCTCGCTGGAGGAAAATTACAGATCATCGAGTTCAATACTCGATGTATCTTTGAAAGTTATCGAACAAGATCCCGAGAGATACAAAAAGGTCTTACTACCTGTCCATAAGAAAGGCACTAGGCCAGTCCTTCGTATGCTCAAGCACTCTACAGCCGAGGCAGAGTGGGTTGTCTCGGAGATCAAGCGAGTTAGACTCATGTCTGGAAATATGATTAGGGCTGATGACATTGCGATCTTGCTCCGGTCTGCCTCGTTGTCAAGACATATCGAATCTGCCCTGGGGAGAGAGGGGGTACCATATAAGATGGTCGGTACGTAGTCTACTATTCGCGCCTATCTACTATTAATATTGATGCCCCTCAGGTGGTTTCAAATTTTACGAGCGAGCTGAGATCAAAACCATTCTGGATTATTTACGGGTCATTCACCAGCCCACAAATAACGATGCCCTCGCGCGCATTATCAACGTCCCGAAGCGAGGAATTGGCGACGTAACAGTTGCGTCCCTCCTGGAAGAGGCTGAACGAAATTCCATGAGTCTGTGGGGACTACTGAACAAACATTGCCGGGGCGAACGACAAGCGAAGACGACCATCAGGAAACAGAGTGAACAGAGAATCAGTGGGGGCCTATTGAGGCTGATCACTCAGCTACAAAGCCGTTTAAGACCAAAAGAGGGAACACCCGTTGATTTGCTCGACATTATCAACCAATTGCTTAATGATCTACAATTCGAGAAGTATCTAGAGGAGACTCATGGCCCAGAGTATGAGTCGAGATGGGCGAACGTACAAGAATTTGCAAATCTTGTTGCTGAGTTTGTGCACCACGATAAACCCGAGGACGAGATACTCCCAATCCTTGACAACACCCAGCCCAAACCAGACGACGATGCGCTCGCTCGGTTCTTGGCGAATGTCGCGTTAGCATCTGACAAGCAGACTGATGACAAAAGCAAGGAGGAAAAGTCTCAAGTTACGCTCTCTACAATACACGCAGCTAAGGGGTTGGAGTGGCCCGTCGTATTTGTGCCGGCAGTCTACAAAGGGTCCATACCACATATACGGTCTGATGATGATAGCGAGGAGCGACGCCTCCTTTACGTAGCGATGACCAGAGCTCAAGCCCTGCTTTATCTAAGTTGCCCCAAGTACACCTCTAGTGGTGGCAAAGAAGCTGTTTGTATTTCCCCTTTTATCGAAAAACTCTCATCCTCAAATTTCCTCAAGAAAGGGCCATCTCTCGATCGGCCAGTCATGTCAGAAATAGCTAGGATCTTAGGAAGAGACCTACCCTCGGAAAACGCCATCTATAAAGACATGCCAATGATGGCAGCCATGGAGGACAATCGCTTCCCAATTGATCCGAACCAGGCTGAAGCAGATTCATCGAGTGTCATAAATAGCTATAGCAGCTATAATCAGCATCCTGGGCCACACAAGCGACAGAAACTTCACCATCTTGACCCTCAGACTGCTGACAAATCAATCAACGAATGGGCTACTCCTCCTTCAACCACAATGCAGAGGTCCGCTTCTTTTACTGTGCCCCATCCCTCACCGCAACCAGGCTTCACTACAGCCGGGGCTCACTATGCGAACGCCACAGCTGCTGAGGCGGCCAGAGATGTCACAACACCCCATCGGGCAGCGGGGACGAAAAGACCTCCACCTAACAGAGCCCCATCCCAGAGAAGCCTCATAGGGTATGGATATGGCGTGACAAACCATGACAAATCTAAACAGATTGATGACGTTACGCCCCTGATACCTTCCAATTTGACGCGATCGGTCAGCTACACTCCCCGCCCCTACAACCTAGCGCAGGGCAATGGACGAGAGGCAGAATCCCGGCAGTTACTCCCTTCAGGCAACGATACCCTTCAAGCACAACAACGCCCTGCCGTCAAGCCTGAGTTTGGAGATCACAAGCTAGGATCTGCAAAATTTTCGACTAGGCCAGCCACTACTCGTCAAGCAGTAGAAAAGAAGCCGCCGCCGCCGCCACAGTCAAAGCAATACGCCTGCTTCTCGAGTTCACCGACCAAAATAAAACCAGAAGAGGAAGAAGAAGAGGCAGAGAAGGAGAATGAAGTGCCGCTAGAGGAGCAGGTGCGTCCCGCGAAGAGCTTCCACGCCACGACTGTAGACTGCGGTCCAAAAGTGGGCTGGAGAGGGGGAGGAGGTATTCGAAGGCCGGCGTCTCTGGGCCGGAGCAGTATTACGCCCATGGACCGTTTGAAGAGGCCTTTTAAGCCCTTGACTGTCAAGCGAGAAAGGTGATAGGAGGATATGCCAAATACTACCACGAATTTGAGTAGCAGCCCTTAGATAAATAATGACTATATTTAGTCTATATATATATAAGACATCAAGCAGATATACCTTCCCTCAGTATGTCATTCTTATTCTTATTTTTCGTATACTGAAACATCGCTCTGCCTCCACAATTCTTCGGTATAATTTTCCGAATCAATGTTCTATCATTGTATCATGAACCGTAGGTGATCATTCCCACTCTTCGTATCTCTCCGTTTCAGCGGTTGAACACCTTGGTTCCAAACTTCCACACCTCATCGACGACGAGTTCGACACCATTCGCGCTGCGCTTCTCTGATAGAACAACCAAATCCGCATCAGCGCCATCATCAAGACAGCCCTTAATGCCCTGCAATCCTAGCATTGCAGCTGGCGTGGACGTGACGGCTTTCAAGGCCTGCGGTACACTGGCGCCAGACCAATTGAGGAAGTTAGACACGCATTCGATGAGCGTTATTGAGCTAATAAACCAGTTAGCTTCATTACCTATTGTATACTTAGCTGTTGATTGGTGCTCACCTTCCAGCAATTCTGTCGGTGCCCTCCAAGATCAGCTTGTTGCCCTTTTTTAGAATGTGGCTCGTGTCTTCGCCGTTGGTCCATTGGTAAGCGCCGTCTGGCAGGCCTACTAGGTGCATAGAATCCGTGACGAGAATGAAGCCATCGGGATGTGCGTTAAAGGCTATCTTGATTGTTGTGGGATGCAGGTGCTCTCCGTCCGCGATGATGCCGAAATAAGGGCGAGGCAAACTTTCTGCCATGCCTAGAACACCAAAGATGCCGGGGTTTCGATGGTGCAGCGGTCTCATGGCGTTGAAGAGGTGTGTGATCATCGTTGCGCCTGCTCCAACGGCCGCTGACGCCTCTTCATATGTTGCTTCGGAATGTCCTATCGAGTAAATAATACCCCGGCTCGTAATTTCTGGAATGAGCTTCGTCATTTGGCCACATTCCGGCGCAGCAGTGATCATCTTTATTGGCGTGGGGTAAAGTGTGCTGTCAGAGCTGAGGTTTGACGCACCATAGCAGTCCACCAAGTCAGCAAAGCTTTCGGCTTCCCGTAGCACATCCACGTTGTGAACTCCGTTCTTGGTCGGGCTTAGGAACGGTCCTTCGCAGTGTGCACCTAGTGATTCGGCGCCATCTTCTGCGATCTGCAAGTATCCAGAGGGGGCTAGATGTGGCAATGTTCGTTTGTAGAGCTCGCTTCGCTGACTTGTGATGGTAGGTACATACGCTGTAACGCCAGTTTTGACCAGTTGCTTGTTTAATTCCTTGACTTTCTTGGCATACACGGCAGGCTCAAGTAATGTAGAAAAGTTGAAGCCAAAGGCTCCATTCAGTTGACACTCAATGAGACCCGGCGATAGGATGCGTCCGCCGAGATTGATAACCTCATCGGGGAGTATAAAATTATCGTAAAATGCAGCTTGGCTCCTGATGATTTTCCCAGTGACTGAATTAACCCAGAGATCCTTATCAACCAACTCGGTACCCTTCAAGATGCGACAGTTGGTAAACTTGGTGATGCCATTCCGACCATCTGCTGGTATGGACTTGGGTGAAGATGATAGGGAGTGAGGCATGGTAATAAGTCTGAGAGTGATTATCAAAGTACAAAACACAAAATACTATTTAGATATGTAGTCTATTATGTTTTATCGAGTAGCAGGACATGTGCCCCTTTTGCAAGTAGCCGGACCTCCATAAACTAGATAGACCAGGAATTGGAAATTGGGTTGTAGGCTTATTTATTTATGATATCACAACACAGGGGGGCCGCTGACGCTGAACTGTGGCCAATCTGAGATCGGTATTTCGGCGTAGCAATAGACAGAACCTGTCAGAAAGCAGCATTACTGATAGGTCTTGACAGGGCCGATGTCAGTGGAGCCAGTCGAATGCCAGTCTTGCAACTGTCACAGATTAACACACGCAGCTTTGTGAGTGGATGGATGTGTCAATGTGAAAAGTACACCAATGATAAAGGCATGTGACTAAGAGGACTGGTCAGCAAGCTTTGGGCAAATCTAGGCCATAGGATCGTGAGGGTTGGTTACTGAGCGAGACCTGTGGCAACCGAATCGGCGAGACACTGAGATACTGAGACGCTTCAGAGAGTGTCTTCCGAGGTAATGGGGTTAGTAGCTACACACTGGTAGCTACACTGGTATCATGCTGCATGGGTTGATGCTGGTGCTCGTTATCGGAGATGTGTGACCATCCATTGCAAAAAAGGTAAGAAAAATATTGGATCGTGAAAATCTCCTTAGGAATTGGTTTTGGTAAAGAATGGTGTAAAAGTAACGTTGCGAGAAGTTGAAAGGTTTACCTAGGGGTACCTAGGTTATTTTTCTTGATGTTCAAGTTTTTTTTTTTTTTTTTAGTTTTTTTTTTGTTCTCTTTTTTTGGGGGGGTTTGAAGGGGGGATGAGGGGGGTTCGTTAGAGGCGATCCTTCCCCAGATGTTCTGCGACTTGGGACTCCCAACATTAGGTAGGTGCTTAGTGCCTACATCCATCCATGATGGATACTAGTACTACACTATGTACTGCCCAGGGTACCTAGGGTAGGTAGTAATCAATACCTAGCCACTACCTACATATCTTATCCGAGCATCCACATCCACGGATGTTACCTACACATGCACCTACCAGTCTGGCAGTCTCACCTACTAACTTCACTACATACTATCATTGATGTAGTATGCATGACATTGCATGTGTATTGTTGTTATCTTCAGGTCAACTGGTGTTACATACACAGTACTATTGATACTAACTTACTTACTTACTTACTTACTTACAGTATTCTAGTCTAGTAGTATTCTATCAACTCTTCCTTAATATCGTCAAACACGCGAGCCCTGCTTCTCGTCGGTGTATTTGCCCGAACCCTCCCTCCCTCCCTCCCTACATTACCTACCTTACCTACCTTACCTACCTTACCTACCTTACCTAATTTCACACGCTTCACATCGGGTTAGCTCAATTGCTGACTCTTAGTTATTACGCTCTGTTGCTGGCTCAGCTTCCACCCCTACACTATCTAACTGCCCAGTAAACACAACGTCGAAGTCGTAACAATACGACCTCAAAATGGCCAAGTCAGACAGCGAGCTTGACCCACTATGGCAAAATCTTGATTGGTACGATGCACCCTTTTCTTTACTCCCTCAATAGAGCCTCAAGGCCAGGCTTGCTTCGACGGGACCGGGCCCAGCTGTGTGGCTGGGCCGAACTAGGTAAAGGAGGTCACTAATTCTAGACTAACAGGGCGATTGGTCAGATGTTGATTATGGGATGGGATGGCACTGAAGTAACGCCTCAAATCAGGAACCTCATTGTGAACCACCACTTAGGTTCCATCATATTGACAGCTAAGAATCTCAAATGTACACAAGCCTATGAGAGAGATCTATGAGAGGCCTTATTCATGCCCATAGAAGCCAGCCACGTATTGGGACGATACTGACCACTTTATATATAGCTGCTGAGCAGACCGCTTCTCTAGTCCAGGAGCTTCAAACAATAGCCCACCAGGCTGGTCATCCTGAGCCGTTACTGATTGCGCTTGACCAAGAGAATGGAGGTGTCAACAGTTTGTTTGACGAGGATTATATCTGCCAGTTCCCTAGTGCCATGGGCGTTGCTGCTACCGGGAGCACAGAACTAGCCTACAACGTAGCAAAAGCTACAGCCACTGAGGTTTCCGCTGTTGGGGTTAACCTCATTCTAGGCCCTGTATTAGACGTACTAACCAATGCGCGTCACCAACCTCTCGGGGTTCGAGCTACTGGGGATGATCCCCAAGAGGCATCTCAGTTTTGTATCGCTGCCATCAATGGGTTCAAAGATGCGGGAGTAGCTACGTGCGGCAAGCATTTCCCGTCTTACGGAAACATTGATTTTCTGGGCTCTAGCTTAGACATGCCTGTCATCACTCAGACTCTAGAAGAGCTAAGCCTGAGTGCCCTTGTGCCGTTTCGAAATGCGATAAGCGCCGGGCGTCTTGATGCCATGTTCGTCGGTGGATGTGGAATCCAAAACGTTGGCATGAACGTTACGCACGCCTGCCTCTCGGACCAAGTCGTAGATGACCTTCTGAGGAATGAGCTTGGATTCAACGGCGTTGCCATTTCGGAATGCCTCGAAATGCAATCCCTCATCCAGGAATATGGTGTTAAGGGAGGAACCGTCATGGCCGTCGAGGCGGGAAACGACCTCGTGCTCCTGTGTAGAGCCCACGATGTACAATTGGAGGCTATATCTGGTTTAAAATTAGGCGTCGAGAACGGGATCATCATGAAAGAACGAATTTATACTTCACTGAAGCGAGTATTGCGAATGAAGAGTGTGTGCACATCTTGGCAGAAGGCCCTTAATCCGCCCGGGCTGTCTTTGCTATCTAAGATACACCCGTCGCATCTTGCACTCTCACGGAAAGCCTATGACCACTCCGTTACTGTCGTCCGAGACAAGGAGAATCTGCTTCCTCTCTCGCAGAGTTTGCTCCAGGAAGAAGAGCTCTTACTATTGACACCACTAGTAAAGCCCTTGCCAGCCTCAGCAGCCACGAAGAGCTTGCTAGAGAAGGGCGCCACCAAAGCCTCATCTTTACATGATAAATTCACTCACCAAGAACGCGGGGCGATTATGAGTGGAGAAGGTGTTTTTCGAGAACTGGGTAGATCTATAGCCCGGATGCGTAACGGGAAACTACTCCATACATCATACACAGCAAATGGACTTAGACCAGGTTAGGCAGATATCTGTTTCCTTTCTATAACGTAACTAACTCACCAATTCTTAGTACACGAAAATCTCATCAACAGAGCATCTGCAATAATCATAGTCACCGCCGATGCCAATCGAAATTTATATCAGACGGGTTTCACAAAACATGTAGCAATGATGTGTCACATGCTTCGTGGCACTGGTCAGAAGAAGTCTCTCGTCGTGGTCGCTGTTAGTTCCCCATACGATTTTGCAATGGATAAATCCATTGGGACGTACGTTTGCACCTTTGACTTCACCGAGACTGCCATGGCTTCTCTGGTCCGCATCCTGTATGGAGAGATAACCCCGCAGGGGTCAATGCCAGGGACAATGAGAAAGAGCAAGAAGGTATCCAAGACGAGACAGCAATGGCTCGTCGAAGACTACGACCGTGAACGGGACAGCTCTGCCCTAGAGGAGCTCTTGAGAACATTGGCGCGCTCTAGCACTCCAAGCCTGCCATATCTTACGGCAGGGGCCCATTCGTTTGAATTGTTTAATCCACATGTTGAAGAGGCACACTACGTCGTTCGGAATAGCAGTACAAAAACTTTGTACGGGTTCATAGCGACTTACTATACGAAAGGCATTGGCGCTATTGGTGCACTATTCGTTGACCCAGTGAAGCGAAATGTATCGATTGGTAGATCGCTACACCGTCGTGCGATGCGAACGTTACTTCAGAAGCAGGGTATTCAGAAAGTGCAACTTGGCTTCACGTTCCCGGGTGTCTTCCCAGGAGTACCTGTAGATGAAAGTGGAAGCAACAAGAGCTGGTTTGACAATGTCGGGTGGGACACGCAGTTTCCCAAACGACTGACCAATATGGCCATCGAAGACCTTGGGACCTGGACAGCACCGGAAGGTCTTCTACAAAGCATCCAACGAGCTAGTATAAGCTTTGATCTGATACACGGGTTAGACAACGCCGAGTCGGTGCTCAGCCATGTAGCCACATATGCAGGACCCGAAGTCGTGGAACTCTACCGGTTTGCCTTACAAGAAACCAACACAAGCGGAGTGGTCCGAGCCAAGAACTCGATGGACAACTTGCTGGGAACAGTCATCATCTGTACAGCTGCGAGCCGCTTGTCAACATTCATCCCCCCGCTTCACTCAGCCAACGGCGAAAATATAGGTGGCATCATCGCCCCAATTGTGCCATCTACCACTCAATCAGCCTTGATTATGCAGGGATTAGCATTCATGGGCGTGAGACAGAATAAGGCGCACAAGTCAGCAAAGAGCGTGCTAAGCTGGGTAAGTTTCTAACCATCACATGTAGGTAGTAATCCATTATAGCTAACAAGCCTACAGGTTCTTAACGAAGCACACGAGCCTCTTGCGGCTATGGGTTTCGATGTTCAACAGACATTTGATGAGATTACAAATTCCCCGGAGAATGTAAGTTTCCAGCGAACCCGAATCTCTGTATAGTTGCTTACGACCGTCTGTATGGATAGTGGTCTGATTTGAGTTGAGCGACTACTCTTACATGGGAGTATGCCCCCTTTCTCCCGTTTATTTTTTAAGGAGAGGGAGGGGGGGAAGGGGGTAAAGGATTTGTAGTACAACGTGCTCTGCTCCAAACAAAGGGTTTCGACACATGCTCTTGTCCTTGTGATTTTATATTCGGGGTGAGAGAGTCGGAGTTAGCGGCAGATGAAATTTGTTCCCGACCAATCACGAATCGAACATGTCGGGATTTAGATCCTAAAACGCACGCTACCAGTCAATCGTCGAGCTTTAAGTCTTCAGCCATCATTCTGCCTGTACCCGTTTCAAAAATAGAACTGCGGCGGCATACTACATACTACCATGCTATATGCTCCATACTACCTACCTCCCTACAGTACCGGTCTCCGAACCTCTTCATTTCAGGGATCTGGTGGACACGACAATTCTACCTAGAAGATAGTAAACAACAGTCCAATTACCAAGTGTTGTTCACTAGGCTGATTGATAGCAGAGTATGTTTCTATATGCATTTCTTGCATTAAGGTGTGGTGGGGTGTCACATGTAGGCAGGCAAAGGACGAGCGCATATGCATGAGAAGCACCGAATGTCTGGATTTGCAGAGCAAATGAAGGATAGATGATAGATGATAGATGACAGATGACGATGTTCGGTTATTGGTATGAATACCGCAGACTAGGGGGGAGGTCAATTTGTCACCCCACCTTGGAGATTATTTTAACTTATTCTAGAAGGTAGAAATGATTCTGCAGATTTCACAGTCATTTAGTAGTTGTATTGGAGATACTCCACCTTTTCAATATTCCGAGGGTTTGTGTTGGAAAGATGAAGAGGTGGAAGACTTGAACATTGAACCTTGGAAAATTCAATGGTTGAACATTCAATGTTGTGGGGGAGATAGTTATGTATTGTATTGTATTGAATTGTATTGTATTGTATTGTACAATACCTAACTAACCTAGGTAGGTATGTAGGTATGTAGTAATACTGCAGTACATGCATGTGGTTATTGTATTCGTTCGTACAAATACATAGTAGGTTAGTACCTAGTATCATAGTCTCGTTGGCCTAACTAGGCGCTTTGTACCGAGACCCGAACCCCCTATCAAGCCAAAGTTGAAAACCGTATTATTAAACTCTCCCGGCTTTTTATTTTACTATGTAGCTACTAGGCAGGTACTTAGGTAACTTGCAGGTTGAGGACCGTCAGAGGACGGTTCTTAATCACAATTTCTCCACCCCGTAAACCCTCCACCCCCCCTTGGCACCCCCCCCCTACAACTACATACCTAGTTACTATGCTTATTGAATTGTTTTCGCGCCTCCACTTCGGCTGCGCTCTTCTGGTTCCATGTTCTCACACCTTACTTACCAAAGTAGCGGATACCATCATTTATTTTCTTTGGACGTTTCTTAGACGTTTCCTTAACAAATCATTGTCACTTTACATACCTCGACATTCCGAACACTCCACTCCACTTAATCCGCTAACCGTAGAAGCTTGGTCTTCATCTTTCCTCGCTAGTTATCTATTCCATTTGGCTTGGTCGCCTGTCATCTAGCCTACGTCAGCGTCAGCATCGCCGTGTAGCCGCAAGAGAAGGGTCGTCAGCCCTTGACAATGCAATGGCGACTTTCAACTCCATGCCGGCGCTACAGTCAGGTGCCAGTCCCGGGGACGCCATGGGATTAAACGTCATGTCCGGCTCCAGCCTAGGTATCGACCCTTTCGATCCTGATATGAATTTTGACGAGTCTATGCTGTAAGTCAAGCCCGCCAGCACATTGGTCCCCCCTCCTTGCGATCAGCTACCAAGGCTACCATAATATGCGCATATCTGCGTGTGCCTGCGTGGTTGCGTGGTGGCGCGGTGGCGCGGTGGTGTGATACCCGTATCTATGGGGAGAATAGCACGTGTAGTATGTAGTTGTAAAAGCTAAGATGCCGAGTAGAGAGAACGTCAATAGCGGTTTACCTCCTTTGCCCTTCACCCCTTCTTACGACTTCGAAACCTTTTCCACCACCTTCGAAGATCCCTTCAACTACTCTAAACCCTACGAAGCTGCGCCGCATCACGATGAATTTCACGATGAAGGATCGTCCCCGCAACAGCCAGACGACAAGCTTCTTAGCTTCTCAACCACCGCCGTGAAGGCTACCCCCTTAGATGACGCGTTAGGTACATATTCCGAAATTGGCATGTCAGCTGAGCTGTATGGCATGTTCTTCGTTGCCGAGGATGTATTTGGCGGCGAACCAACTGGTCGGCCCTTGGAGCTGACATGCTATCGACGGAATCTATGGCAATGCTCCGGTCAGGTAATCATACCGCGGCATTGTACCCAGGTCATGAATGAGCAAGGTCGTGCTATACCTATAATAGAATTCTACGCCTCGATATCCGCCAAAGAGAGTATCGAAGGCAAATCCACCGAGATTATCTCTATCCCATGGAAAAGTAGTAATCCGATTCTGGGAGAAGGGCAAGAAACCAAAGTGGCTAGTGCTCCACCAAAAATAGCTCTTGATCTTGGTGGCGGCCAGGAGGTCGATGGGCACCGAGTAAGCATACCGGTTTCGTGGAAGCGGTTGCAGTTCAAAAGTGCCACTGCAAACAATGGCCGGCGGAAAGGACTTCAGCAGCATTACGTTGTGCAGATCAGCCTACTGGGTAAGATGAAGACGGGGGGCGATTTTATGAAGATTGCCGAAATTCAAAGCGGTCCCGTAATCGTGCGTGGTAGAAGTCCTCGCAACTTCGATAGCAGAAAGGATGTCCCTCTGACAGGCGACAAGAAGGCTCCCAGTAACGTAGAACGATCCCGAACGCATAGCGATGGAAGCGTGGCTCCGAACATGAAGATGGAGCGATCCGACTCTTCACAAAACTTACACCCCTTCTCATCCTCGTCACTAAATAATACCACGCCCGTATCATCTTGGACAACGCCCTCCACACCAGCATATGCTGGGCAATCGAATGCCCAAGCCCATCCAGCGAAGAAGATAGCACTCTCACCGAATATAAGTCGACCGCCTGTGCCATCTTGGGGGAAAGAATCCATGAACAAGACACACTCACTAAGCAATCACGCGAAAAACTCTTCACCAAGCCCCTCCGTACCAATCAGCCTATCCCTATCAGAGGACGAACGGAGTCCGAATAATCGTTCCAACACGGACTCCCTCACTAGTCCGAGGTTACATCGGACATCCACGAGCCACGGCGTAGGTGGCAGCCCAATAGAGGAGGAGGAGGAATTATACGAATACTTTCCATTGAGTGTTGATGATTGGTAAGTCCGAGTTCATCCCAAACTCCTATTTCGAGCCTAGACTTGCAGAGTAGCAACTAACACACCCTTTCTTTTGAAAAATAAAAGGACACCTCTCGTGGACACCGTATATCGACCGCACATCGTCCATCATATCGCTGTTCCCCAGGAGATAAAAGCGCAACAGATTAGGAATAAATCTAAGAGATATTTCTCGGCAGAATAAAGACACGTTCATGCTCTTCCCCTTTCCTAGAAGAGGCATAAAAATATATGTAGCCCTAGAGGTCATGTAAAGGAGATCATCTTAGCGATCCTCAGTTTTAGAGGGGCAAAGATGTTGGAATATCAAACAAAGCGCTGGCAGACAATGACGACGACAATGACACAGCCCAGGCATCAATTATTTGGGGGATTGGTCGGGGATGTTTGTATTATGAACAACATAAGTTCTTTCTTGGAGTATCTACTTGACCTCAAATAACTCTTATGTATGTAGTATATACCTAGCGGAGGTTTAGGGGTATCGCCCAAGTTGTGCCTCTTTATTTTTTCGCACTTTGATTCTTTTTCTCGGAACCCGAGCGAGCCTTTATCTTCCAATATACCCACTCCCTGATAGCAATTCCGTGTGTCAATGTGCCTACCCGATACATAGTAGGTACCTAGCCTAGTACCTACATATGTATGTAGTGGCAGCTTGCATCGCACTTATTCCAAGAGTATTTCATTATGCATGTTGTTCTTCTACCACCAACGCCTTCTAGATGCTTCCGTTTAGGGAGAAAGAAAAGAAGAAAAGCTCCTTGCTCGTTTGCCACATGACCAGACGACGACCCCTGTACATCCTTCACCTCCGTAACATAATATAAAAAGAAGTTTGATATCTTGCTCGTCTCTCGCCATCTCCATTATCATCAGGTAGAACTATGTGCGCATATGGTTTTGTTTACACCAAAGCAAGAAAATCCAACGTGAAGGTATTAATGACATCTATATACAACGTAGATCGTCCCTGGTTTGCTTCTATACTTCAGGAGTTGTGGCACACGCAATCGCGACTGCGGCCCCGAGAATTGAGCTCTCGAGGGCAGGAACGAGATCGATAGAGCCGGTATGTTCACTACGGGAGACGAGATCATCGATGTAGTGTTGGCAAGTCTCCCGGTATCGTGGATAGTGCTCGATGACGGACCCATTGAAGGCGACCTTGGTACTGACCTCAGCCTCGACCTCGTCGATACGATCATCGATAGGGGGGCACGATAACACTATGGCACTGTCATTGGAAGGGGCACGCTTAGGCGTCACAACGGCTTGCTCCGCTTCTGTCTCATGCCTTAGCTCCCAAAGCGAGAACACCGAAGCGGCTAGAAGTGCAGCCGACCGCCGCGAGATGAAGGTAGCGAGGGTACGGATTGCATTGATGTCGGATATAGTGGGCGGTGTGGCACAGGGGTAGTGCGTCGTGAAATCTTCCAAAGCCTTTTCAAGTGTAGGTGTGGTATCACTAAGTCGAATGTTAGTCTTTGTAATGGAGTTATCGTGGCTTGCTACAGCTCGCTAAGCAGAACTTACGCCTCGATCCTCGACAGTATTTCAGTATCAAGCGAGTACGGTTTCTCTAGCGATGGAGGTAATTGGCCACCTAGCAGGCCTGTCGTCTCGACCGCCTCGACTATAGCGTGGCGGCAAATTTCCCCCAGATAGAAGCCGCTGAGTAAATGTTCAAGTGGTTGAAATTCGGGCCTTGGGTGGTTCGCATTCAAAAGCTCGTCCCATCGCGTTAGAGGTAGTATATCCTTTCCAAACATGCCCAACTCCGTATTCACGATGACGTGATCTGCGAACTCGAACCAGCTCTCTGGCCGGTTGCCGTACTTGACACGACTAAAGGCCGATACAGGTAGGTGAACAGCAATATTAGTGCCAGTGCCCAATATCAGACCGAAGTGCGTTGATCCGTGGACATATGCTTGTGATAATAATGTTGCTGAGCTATCGTTGACAATGGCAGTAAGCTGGACATTAAGACCTTGTTTCTTGCAGGCAAATCTAATGAGTTCACCTAGATCTTGACCTAGCAGCCCATTCGTAGCTAGGAACCCTTTCCCCATGCCAAGCAGCAGTCCACCTCCCAATGACACTTGTCTAAGTGACAGAAATGTTAGCGCAACCATTTACCAAATGAGCAATGAAGATAACCTACTCAACGGGGAAACTCCAGGCCAAACCCATTGGTATCAAGTCTTTTTCAGACGAAATATCTTTATGAACAACTTCGAATATTCGAGCTGCCATCCAGTCGAAGAAACTCATGCCTTCTAATTTCTTGATCTCTGACGTGATCTTGAAGCTAACCATCCGAATAATTTCACTCTCCTTCGCAGTTACTCCCCGACCCCTCAACTCCACCAGGGCAACCCTCAATGTTGATCCTCCGACATCGAGAGCAAGGTATTGGCCTCGTTCCCTTCCGGTGGGGAGTAGGTGGTTAAATGATGGAAGCATGCATTCTGCGTGGGTGTGTAACCGTTCCCGAAACTGGTTCTTGAGGTCCAACGAATACATATGTAGCCTATCTCCTTCGAGGGGGCCCAACAGAAGCTTATCTGCTTCTCTCAAAAACTCTTCGATGGTTCTGGATGGATATACCTTCGTTCCACCGACTTGGTGCTCCTTCAGAGTCTTCGGGCTAATCCAAAAGGCAAACAAGGCTTGCAAGAAGGACCTGCCTCGGAGGAACGACTTGAGAGCCGCCAATAGCGATTTTTTGAATGTCGTCATTGCGGAAGTGAGTGGTTGCATGGCAGGGGACTGATTTGAAGGACAAAGTTGGGGGTAAATATATGTCAGAAAGGTAGCATAGACAGGTTGGGGCAGAGAAACAGCTGATATCCCAGTGACGAAATTTCTTTCTCGTCTTCACGCAACAGCATTCGTCATCTCTTAGTACAAGCAGGACATTGATAATGAGAGAGGGTAAGAAAGAGAAATGTTTCCTTAGGGCCGCGTCAGGGCTCGTATAGGCGGTAAAATGCTGGAACGGTAAAAATGAAACCTGCCGGTCAAATTCGACGTTAAGGAGGGAACGCTGTTGGTTGGATCTGGAAATGTACGATCCCAGGAGGTAGCAGACAATAGAGGGAGCCAAGACTCAAGTTGTAAGAGTACGGGGTTTCTAGTCAGGCTCAATGGGTTACAGCATTAACGAATGCAATGGTGCAATGAGAGCGAATGACAGTTAAAGCACAATAGCTTCAGATACGAGAAAGAATGATTGCGTTTGGAGTGGTAGTATGTCAAGGTAGACAGCAAGGTAGACAGGTAGACAGACAGAGACACATCTAAGTCGAGAATGTTCAACCCAAAAAAGGAAAAAAAGAAAGAAAAAAAAGAAAAAGAAAACCCTTCCCAAAACCGAACCCTCCTGGCAAAACGTGGCTCCCACCTACGGCTATGCTTGTTTTGGCTCAATGTTGTACTTCAAGTCTGGTTTTTACCACCTAACAAAATAGCAACATTGAACAGTACGAGACAAATGCCTAGTAGGTATGTAACAGCAGGGATAATAATATCAACCCGAAGTAGATGCCCCGGTGATATGGGACAGAGCGGGACGGGATGGTAGCAGATCCAACGCCACCGTTTCCTATGTAAGGCAGGTGACTTCGAATTGGTAAGTAGGTAGGTAGTGAGTGTGGTAGTGAGTGGTGGTATTGTGTATTTGCGTATTTGTGTATTTGTGTGTTGCGGGCTGCTTCCAGATGTCTGACTCGGCGGTACTCACGTAGCAGCTACATGTATCAATCAATCAATCAATCAATCAATCAATCGCAATCTCAATCGCAATAGTGCCTGGGTACCTAGGTACTAGGTAGTAAACATTGAAAGTAACAAGGGCGTTCAGCGGTAACAATAACGTTGAACAGATCCTCGGCGGCAAATCGAGAGGATTAGGGGTTGAACTACGTTGGCGCAACCAATGGGCAGGCAGTATCAAAGGTATTAGGTGGGAGGAGGAAGAGGAGGAGGAGAAGGAGGAGGCATGGCATAGTGAGTGAGTGGGAAGGGAACACTTGAGAGAGGTGCACATTGTCTCACTACCAGGTATTGTACCTACCTAGGGTCCTATGTAGTTACCTAGTATGTATGGTATGTATGGTATGTATGGTATGTATGGTTGCTAGTTGTGGTTGTAGTCAGTCGTTGTTGCCCACTATCTACCTGCCATCTGGGTCCAAGATGTTAGATGTAACGTTGTAGGCTCTAGAATTGTCGTGAACTTTAACGTTTTAGGGCCAAACTTTTTCAACTCTACCTAGGTTAGTGCTCAAGTCTTTACCTAGGTACTATGTAGTATGGATATTTAAAGGGGCAAGGATCGACCGGTCATGCACGAGCCACATGGCGTTTGCATGTTTCGATCATTGATGTCTACCTACTAAAGTTAGTAGCTGCAGCTACGGTAGTAGTACTGGGCAGGCACTGTAGAGACACTGTATAACAGTGGATTACATACCTACCTCCTGTAGTTAAGCGTACTATATATGTAGGTATGTATGTAACTAGTAACTACATAGTACATAGTTAGTTAGTAGTTAACTTAATACTAGCCACAGGCCTGGGGTTCTTTCTGGCTTGTGGCATCGGAAACATCCACTACAACATTGAACTTGAATCATCAATATTCGAACCTTGAACCTTCAACTTTTTTAGTATTGATTTCTTCCCAATTGCAGGCTTTTTTCATAGTTACATCTACCATACTACACTACATATGTACTTCTATCTAACCCAACTACCCCCTTTTTCTTCAACTTGAGAAAAATAATACTCTTTTAATATTATAGTATATGAAATACCTAACAGGCACTACGTAATTCATTCACCTCTCTTCACTATTGGCTATGTATTAGATCGTGTTTTACTTGGCTGAAGGGGTTGATCCAGCAAATGCGGCTCTGACGAATCTCAATATATCAAAGCCATCCAACTCACACGCTTGAGGAAACAAGTGACTTGCCAATGAATGAAGATAAAAGCTCCTTGGTCGGGCCGACCCCACAGCAGGAGGAATATGATGTCGAGATTAGATCAGCTCCAGCATGAGAGACTTGTCAGCATTTGTCTCTCTCTCTCTCTCTCTCATACAGCACTGTATTTATCCTCCTACTAAAGACCCTGACCCTGCGACCACTGGGTGAAGCCGAGATCTCCGGTCAAGGTATCGCGTCAGGTAGTGATTTATTGTGTTATCTGGAGAGGGTACGGTGACTATGTGGTTGGTCAGCTCACGACACACCGTCCACAAGCGACCAACCAGAGAGCGTAAAGAGCCACATGGGCCCAAGACAGATCATGGACAGATCACTACAACGTTTAGCGAGCCTACCTATTTACGGTAACTTACCTACCTAGGTAGTCACAAGTGTGAGCTCACTATCGCCGTGGTGGAGAACGGGCCAATCCGGGCAAAACGTTCCATCATCGGGGTAGGTCCGATGTTATCTCCCTGAGCGCTTTGACATTCCTTTGCCACCACGAAGCTCGCTCTTCATAACAACTGCGACGCCTGGATTCTTAACATCTTCTCTTCTGTTCATTTCAATAATACTGAGAAATATTGGAGAACACCGAGTGATAGAAAGATATCTCTTCTACCCCTACCTAGCTTGACTACTCCTACTCTCATTATCCATCTTTACCATCTACCACGCGTTCCCCCTTTAATTACCTAGTACAAATCAATTCACGATGAGGCTCATCATCCGTAACGACTCGGATGCTGCTAGCTACTATGTAGCTAATTACATCATCGAAAGAATTCGTCACTTCAACCCTACTCCTAAACATCCCTTCGTTCTAGGCCTACCGACAGGATCCAGTCCGCTTGGTGTATACAAGATTTTGGCTGAGCAGTATAAGGCTGGCAACGTAAGTGTCAACTAAGCAAGTGCGGTGAAATATTGCTGATTACGATTGTAGATCTCCTTCGAGAACGTCGTCACATTCAATATGGTATTTTTTTTAACACAATAGTCCACGCTTGTGATAAGAAACTATAAGAGAATGCTAAAAATCCAGCAGGACGAATATGTCGGGATACCTCGGGACCACCCAGAAAGTTATCATTCGTTCATGTGGAAGCACTTTTTCTCCCATGTCAATGTGAACCCAAACAACGTCCACATCCTAAACGGTAATGCCGAGAACCTCGAGGCAGAATGTGTTGAGTACGAGGCAAAGATAAAGCGCGCCGGAGGCATCGATTTGTTCTTGGGTGGGATCGGTGAAGATGGGCACGTCGCTTTTAACGAGCCGGGCTCGAGTCTAGCCTCGAGGACCCGCGTTAAGACGCTTGCTTATGACACTATTCTGGCCAACTCCCGCTTCTTCGAGAACGACATCAACAAGGTTCCTAAGATGGCATTGACAGTCGGTGTACAGACTGTTCTCGAAGCAAGAGAAGTTGTTATTATTATTCTAGGCGCTCGCAAAGCCCTTGCACTGCAAAAGTGTATCGAGCAGGGCGTAAACCATATGTGGACGCTCTCCAGCCTTCAATTGCACCCTCACCCCATGATAGTGTGTGATGAAGATGCGACTTTGGAACTACAAGTCAAGACCGTTAGGGTAAGCATACCTCCTAGACCATTTGTACATGTACAAATCAGTGATTAGCTAAAATGTCGGTTGTCACAGTACTTCAAGAGCATCGAGCAGGTTGCAAGACAACAGGGTTTCGAGCAGATTCTGCCGTCGAAGATCCGAACTGGGCCCGGGCCAGTGCCGACGACGGTGATAGAAGAAGTCCAATCGCCCACTATCCTCAAACCGCAGCCCATGACATCTCGTTTGTTACTTGCAACACCGGCGGCGGAATATCCCATTCGGTCGGTCTCTCCCGACCTAGTTCCAGATCGAATGGCAGATCGCGTACACGGAATTCCTGATATCTCGAGGAGACTAACGCCACAGCCAGAACACCAACAACGACTGGCTAGCGTTGGTGCGTAAATCTACTATTTGGGCAGAATAATAGCTATAGTTTAAGTACCTACCTGGTAAGATTATAGGGAGTATCAAACGGCAGCATAAAGGTCCAATGTTAAATCATATCCTTTCGGGCTATTCAGAGTACCTAAACTGAAAATCAAGGATAACCCACCTATATAACATCGGTTAAGTGCTCTTGGCTGATTTGGTGGGGTTGTATATATTTGATAGTAACAGCAGAATGTATGATATACACGCACATATGTACAATAATAGCGTACATTCGCACAAATTGGCGTGAAGAGGAGTTAGGCAGATATAGATACCCATTTAGATACCCATACATAACATATATTTCTTACAAGTATTACTGTACTATATATGTGACAACTCTACAGTATACCTATCTATCCGGGAGGAGTTGTTCGGTAATATTCTGGAAGAGGGGGTAGGGGTAGATCTCCCGTCCAGTCCCCTCCACGTCCAGATTAGGTAGCTAATACTACGTACTTATGTATGTAGGTATGTACCTAGTATGTATGATGCTTGTTATCTATGTACGTTTGTATTCATTGTTACTTGGAGGCATCAGGTTCATAAATGGTCATTAAAAACAGGGACCTGCAGCACTGAGATATTAGTATGATTTGGTACCTAGATACAAGGTATCTATCATATTTGATTCGTTATTGGCTTGGAGAGCCGATAAATGGGGGGGGGGGGGAGATATCCAACTTGGGATAGATCGAGTGACGATGGCGGATGATCAACTTCTAATCCTTACAACCCCCGCAATCTTGCGAGATAAGTGACTCCCCCTTGCTATTATCTATAAACTATGTACCTAACACCGAGGCAGGATAGCAAATGCCACCGAGACAACAGCTCTGGTCAAATCATATGTATCGTCACCCCTGGTTGTACTGCCCGGAACACATACGCTACGGACATCAGGTTCAGCTCATGATGTCACGCCCAATACAGTTAGTTGTACATGTCCGATGGTGCAGAATCGATGCAAGGCTTGCAATGGGCAGTGTGTCCGACATGGATGGTTGGCCGATCGATCCCTTAAGCTTGTTTTCGTACCTACACAAAAGCTTTCATGGTTGTCGACGTTGCATCCTTAACGAAAAGATGAGCTGGGGCTAGACTGTCTCGTGCCCTCTTTTCCTCTCGGGACAAGTCTCAGGGCAAGGAATAAAAGGCTTGAGGTTGGCAGCAACAAGGCGGGAGAGGGACTGAAGTCAACCATCCTACTTTACTTATCATGGCTCGGACAGACCCATATAACCACCGAGCGCCGGGGAGGCTCATAATCGCATTCCTTTCCTTGTTTTCCCTCTTTTTTCTCGGCGCATTTGTCGCGACAAAACTTGGTGGAACGACAGCGCCACACACCTTCGATTTTCGCCGCAAAGTTCGCCTCGATGCTCTCCAGGACCCGAAGCCTAGGACAGAGGCTAAGGGAGACGAATATTTGATTGGGGTTGGGAAAGCTGATATCACCGGCCCCGTGGTAGAAATCAACTTTGCTGGTTACGCCGACCTCTCCCAGACTGGCACCGGTCTTCGCCAGCGTATTTACTCTCGGGCATTTATCGTCGGTGATGTCAACAGCCCCGCCGATCGATTTGTATATTTGGTACTCGATACACAATCCGGTGATACGGCTGTGCGTCTCGGTATCTTGGACGGCCTGGCTGCACTTGGGGATGACTATTCTGTATATGGACAGGGGAACGTCGCCGTCACCGGAACACACGCCCATTCAGGTCCCGGTGCTTGGTTCAATTATCTGCTCCCGCAGGTAACTAGCTTAGGGTTTGACAAGCAAAGCTATCAAGCGATCGTTGATGGTGCTGTCTTGTCGATAAAGAGAGCTCACGAGTCCTTGACTAAGGTACGCGCGAAGGAACAATCGATGACGAGATTGCTGTCCAAAAACTAATAATGCCTATCTTTACCACTAGGGATATCTTGACATAGGTAAGTAACAACTACTTAACCCAGTAGCCAAATCCCATAGCTCGCTATGTAAAACATAGTTGGGTACTGTATCTACCTAGGCATCTAACAAGGTGCATAGGGACGGTGAACATTACGGATGGCAATTTAAGTCGGAGTCCATTTGCTTATCTAGCCAACCCTGCGGAAGAGCGAGCTCAGTATACAGACGATGTAGATAAAGAGATGACCGTCCTAAAGTTCCAACGCGCGTCTGATGGTAAGGACATTGGTATCTTGACTTGGTACGCAGTTCATGGGACTTCCATCTATCAAAACAGTACTCACGTGGCTGGCGATAACAAAGGAGTCGCTGAGATCATGTTCGAAAAGGCTATGGAGGGCGAGGAGTCTGCTGCTGACGGATTCGTCGCCGGCTTCTCACAGGCAAACGTCGGGGATACAACCCCTAATACATTAGGCGCCTGGTGAATAACAGCTCGATAATACTCATACCCGACAAGGGGATGCTGACAGGGTCCTTAGGTGCGATGATGGGTCTGGCCAGATGTGCAGCTTAGAAAACAGCACCTGCGCGGACGGTAAATCACAGAAATGTCATGGCCGAGGACCCCAATTCGATAAGCTCGATCTCGGTATCGCAAGTTGCTATGAGATTGGTAAACGTCAATATGAGGGTGCTAGATCAGTCTATGTAAAGCGCATATGTTCCTCCCATTCATCTGCCAGCTACAACTAACTGACATTGCTCGCCTTGCTTAATAGGATTCGTTCGCTTCAGCTGGAACGCCCGTGGTTGGTTCGACAGTAAAGTCGTTCCATTTTTACCATGACATGACATTTTGGAAGTTCCAGTTGGATAATGGGACTGAGGTGCAAACATGTCCCGCAGCACTAGGATACTCCTTTGCGGCAGGGACATCAGACGGGCCAGGAGCATTTGACTTCACCCAAGGAGACTCGGGTACTCCAAGCGCCAGCCCGATATGGGAGGTGGTCAAGAGCTTACTTCGCGCGCCATCGCCTGAGCAGCAAGCAGTGAGTCCTCGCTGGTCTTGAGAGGCCAGTCTTTCCCATCCCAGCTCATTCATTACTTACTCGCATCGTTGTAGTGCCAAAACCCCAAGCCTGTTCTCCTGGACGTGGGCGAGATGTCGGTGCCCTACCAGTGGTCCCCTAATATCATAGACGTCCAGATGTTGCGAGTTGGCCAGCTCATGATTATCGTAAGCCCCAGCGAAGCCTCGACAATGGCCGGGCGAAGGTGGCGCGGCGCTGTCAGAGCCGCCGCCGCCGCCGCGGATCTCACCGATGCCGAGCCCAGGGTTATCCTAGGTGGTCCCGCCAATACGTACTCTCACTACCTAACCACACCAGAGGAATATGGTATTCAACGGTACGAGGGTGCTAGCACGCTCTTCGGCCAATGGGAGCTGCCCGCCTATATTAATCTCACCATTAGCAACATACAATACTTGGCTCCCGGATCCAGTGGGTCGCCCGAGCCCGGTCCGAGCCCGCCAGACAACCGTAGGAACAGCCTCAGCTTTATCACCGGCGTGGTACAGGACAACGCTCCGCTAGGGAAATCATTTGGGGATTGTACAACACAGCCGGCGGAGAGCTACTCGCGTGGTACCGTTGTCAACGCCACCTTCGTAGGTGCTAACCCGCGCAATAATCTGCGACTTGGTGGCACGTTCGCGGCGATCGAGAAGCAGGATGGAGATTCTTGGACACAGGTGAGGGACGATACCGATTGGTCCCTGGTGTATACATGGAAACGCACCGACACGGTGCTTGGTTATAGCGAGGTTACTATCAGCTGGGAGATAGAGGCCGACGCCGAGCAAGGCACATATAGGACGAGGTATTATGGCGATAGCAAGGCTCTACTCGGTGGGGGTGTCACGGCTTTTGAAGGGATTAGCCAGCCTTTTAATCTGACGTGACTGGAATAGGAATAGGAATAGGAATAGGAATGATTGTGTAAATAGTGTATTGATCAGAGATTCAATGCTCTGAAAGTACGATGTATGTATGTACTATGAAGGTAGTAATTACATACTACCTACTAGTTAGGTGGATTTACATAGTTATGTATGTAGTTATTTATCCTCAATGCCTCATCCTGGCAGAGGTACTAGCCTAGGTTACATAACTTAGTTGGTAATAGACTAATAGTATACTACGCCGTATGCATGTGTAGTTTAATAAACGGCTCCACTTTCTATTTCTAATCCGTGGCCACTGCATAGCATATCTATCTCGCGTCGTCCCGCTAACTATGTCTAACCTAGTTTGGACCATCTAGATTAGCATTTTATTATCGGCCGATTTGACTATTAATACAACTACTATGTACTCTATTACATATATACGCCAAGCAATACTCTACGGTACTACCATACATACCAGGTAAGTACACTATGTATAATGTAGTACTAGTAACAATTCCGGTTTCACATTCAGGGACATCCAAGCATCCTTGACAAGGGTTGATAACCCACCAGGGGTAAAAAGGGTCTTGGAACCATACAGCCTTGTGTCTTCACCAATCATCAGTCTGGCCTTCCAATGCCATGTGGATCTAGTCGGAAGACCTCGAACATAACCCTGCAAGATTCATGTTTGAGATCACAGACCTCTCACAGACCTCAATCCACTATTCGCTATCCCCAATCCACTATCGCAGAGGGCTCAGATGGCGCAGAGATCACTTTCGCTCTCCTTCTCTCGCTCCATACCTCCAGCCTATTGTTCTCAGGCTTCCATTTCCTTCATTTCCTTTTTCTTTCTTTTTCTTCCTCTCCTTCGTGTCCCTGGACCGACAATACTGACCATCATGGCGCCGTGATACGCTCGTCCCTTCGTCCCGCGTCAACAGGACTCATTCGTTTCTTGATTAATCATTTTGTAATACTTTTAAATAAAATAACCCCCATTGACTGGGCTCCTACATTCATTTCTATTCTATATTCTATATTCTATATATATATTTAAATATATATCAACGTCGTCGTTGCCACAATGGCGACTCTGGGAGCGACACCGGCCCTTCTGGCCTCCTTTTTCTTTGGTATATTATTTAACGCGGCGTCGGCTGGCCTGGTTCTATATGTGATAGGCCATGGCTCAGCCATATTTCGGGACGGCCTGAGGCTGGTCCTCATAATGTTTCTGGCGTGTTCCGCGGCTTGGGCATTGGTCGAATTTCTCGCCACTATTATTGAACCGACAGCTCCAACCACATGCCAAGTCGCAGTAATATTCTCATCTCTTTTCGACCAGCTAGGGAGGTTCTTGATCGAGCAGTACCTGGCGTGGGCAACACAAACTAAGGGGACGAAGACTATCTGGTCTGTTATATTGCAGGTCTTACTTCTCGGCCGGTTTGGGATTGGCATGGCATTTGTAGGATTGTCGAGGAGCGATTTTAATCCTACATGCGTGCCCGTATCTAGCGTGTTACCTCTCGCCATTGTCACCATCGTGGTAGATGTTGTGATAGTCGGGTTGGTTCTTATTCAAGTTTTGTCGCTGAGCTCGACCGAGAACCAGGCGACCACTAACCACAAAAAGTGTGTCATGTTAGTCATTGTAGGGTTGGTAATATGGTTCGCGGTCAGTTTTTGCCAGCTTCCGTGTCATGTTTGCTTTTATACTAATGATCCGTAGATGAGTGCCACCCTTCTCTTAGGTATGACTACAACGGATTTGGTCTTCAAGACGACGCTTCCTGCTCTTGGATTGGCAATTCTAGTTGGTACGTATGTTCCACCTGCGGCTGACAGTCTTTTTTCGCTGACAATGTAAAGCTTTGGTTACCGTCCTCTCAGGGACACTTGTTGCACCTCGAGGCCCACCACCGCCACGACCAGATTCTCCTACTGCTCGAGATATCAGTAGGGATAGAGACTTGTCATCTTCAGATTCCGCGGAGTATCCCCCATCCCGTTACGAGGATGTGAAGGGTACAAACACAAGGATCATATCTGCATATATCCCTCAAAATGGCGCTGCCCCTGGCTTTGGTGGCCTTTCAAGCCAAGAGAGTAGAAAGAAAAGTACGAAGGGGAATGTTTGGAGCAAGGCCGTGGCAGGAAAGGTCTCGATATCGAACCCGATACTCATGGAAACCAACGGCATGGCAAATCCTCTTAATAGAATGCCAACGATCGACCTTGCTACGGCTGCAAATAACGAAAAGGAGCGGCGAACCAAAATAGCACAAAGTACCTTGCCTCTCACCGCACAGCAGCCAGCTCCTCAGCCGCCAAATCTCCTGAGAGAAGAAAGCATGCTTAATCGGGAGGCGAGTCTTAGGCGAAAAGAAATACGAGCTTCATCGACTACATTGGAAAGATCCCTGTCAACCAAGACCTCGAAAACATCTGGGCGGCTATCTGTCGAAGTCAACGCATCTTCTACATCCTCACAGTTGTCACCCGGCACTGACAAGATAAGGAGGAGGTCGCCGCGTCAACTTCCCCCGCCAGTCCCAACTACGTTCCAGCCAATTCGACCCGGCGAACCTATTCGTATACCCATCCCAAGGACCCAAGATTTGTCTCAATCTTTGGAGAGTCCGGACACTCCCGACCCAGTCAAAACCCCACTCCAAAGACGCCCGACAACGGGACTTCCGTCGAATCCACGTGCCCAAGCAATGAAGCCCGTGACGAAAGAACTTGACAACCAGAGACAGGAAACTATCATGTTCGTTAATAACATCGTCTATGATGATCCCAATACGGTGATCGATATTGTACAAGGAGCTTCGAAAACGCCGATAACTTCCATGGACTCTGCTGACTCGGTTGTCAACCGTCCACGCCCGATCCCAAGAAAAGGAGACAAGGATCGGCAAGTATTTCCCGCTGAGTTATCGCCTAGTCAAACCCACAAACGTTCAAAATCTAGTGGATCGATTGCGAGTAGGAAGTCTATCCTTAGGTCTATGCCTGGTAGCCCTACTTTGTTGCCCCCATTACCACCACCACCTAAAAGTGCCGGCAACCCGTTGCGGCCGCATCCCAATGACACGAAGAGTATGACTTTTGACGAGAAAATGGATATCCTGTATATCACTCCACTTAGCGCTCCATCGACGATGGGCAAAAAGCGATCTGTGGTGCCTGAGGTTCCCCCTTTTCCCGTAACACATGCGGATGCACAACGATCTGATGGCGAGGGTGTCCTGGATCCCGAAGCCAACGGTGACAGGAGGGTATCCAAAGTGACTGATAGAAGCTCAATACGAACCACGAGCATTCTCGGTATTGACGAAGTTCCCCGATTATCTACATATCAAGACGTTAGCTCCCGCAACGCAGCCGACGAATTGGGGCAATCTTGGCTACCTGGAATCTCCGCTGGGAACGAAAGACAGCCACGCATACCGCAAGATAAGAAGAACCGCAGATCATCCCTGGCAATTCCGGTAGGGAGTCATTTCAGCGTATCATCCATGAGAAGCGAAAATAAGACCGTGGATGAAGATGCGGCCACTATATGGGGCTCTACATATTCGCCAATTTCTACAGATGCTATTGCTATTCAGCAGTCACGACTAATCGCACGGTCGACCTACATTGGCAAGGATTCCCGTAGCTCTAAGAAATCCACAGAACAAAATACCGGTCTCAGCACATCTAGCAAAGCCAGTAGAATTACTTCCAATCGTCTTGAGCATCCCAGCAGCAGCCAGAAGACTCCTAACACTGGGGACGACAAAGCCACATTAGAGGTCACTACCGTTCAAGTCGACAACTCTCGCCCTTTCCACCATCGAATAGGCGATGCGTGCCCTACTTTCTCTACTAGAAAGGATAAGGGTCGATTTAGAAAGATGCCTCCACCGCCCCTCCTAACTCTTAACGGGAGGAGCACCAAAAAAACGATCTTGGTACAGACTGCGGAGCCTTCGCCACTTGAGTCGCCTGAGATTGCGTATCAGATGATTCAAGCTCAACTACAGCGGTTCGAGCAGCCGAACCGTGAGTCGGTGGAGGAGAACCAGGGGCAAGGCCTTGCGCTATTGGAAAACTTGGAGCGCGAGATGGGACAATTAGAGGACAAGTGGCAATCCTCGCAGAACCGCCTTGACCGTGACTCAATGTCGAGCATTCGAACCTCTCCGAGCGAATCTCGGAAAATATCTATGGTGGTTGAACGTAGAGCTTCCCGAAAAGTATCACCACATAATAGCGTTGTGCCATCGAAAATGGAAGAAATCACGGTTACACCCGACTTGGTCATGAAGCAAGATAACCTTCATTTTCTACCTGTTTCCAAGACTTCATTGGGAAACCTAACCCCCCCTGATACTGATAAGTCTGGCTACGAAAACGAAATATCTAAAACTTCACAACTCTCAAGTTCAACAGTTATTGAGTCGGCTACTCATGTGCATGCACTCTGGAGACCACAGTCACCTATTCAATGCCCGGTAGATTCAGGTCTTTGGGCAGGATCAGCCAAGAAATCCCAAGTTCATGTCGATGAGCTTCCAGGCCTGTCGGTGCGCCCTGCGATCAGGAAGACTGAGGTCTACTTGACTATCAAGAGTTCATGGCTGTGGCGACAACCCGCTGAGACCAAAACTTCGACGGCTTCGAATGGCTTATGGAAGGGCAACACGCCTTCGCGACTTGCGAAGCCTACGTCTACTGGTCCAGTTGTTACTCGCCCCCTCACCATCCGTCCTCCCCGCAGGAGCAGACGCATGACCCTCTTACCCGATATTTTGGAAAATCCTAAACCTTTACCACATCAACGTGGAAGTCTGGGCATTTTTCAGTTTCCTTGGGGGGAGAAGAGTGAGCATGCCACTATCCAGCCCCATTCTAGTCGAATGGCCATGCCGGGCACCATGACTACTGGTAGCCTCGTTGCCAGTGCTTCCCTAAATATCAAACCAACCCAAATTGACGCCGAAGAGCTCACAACATCGTTCTTTGACGATTATGAAGCCGAAGAAGAAGGTGACAATCTATACGAATTCTCGGATAGCGACGGCGAGGGAGATGATTTTGACGAGACAACCCTCTGGGAGATCGCAAGCTTGCTCAAAACCAGGAACTTGCCTTCAAAGGACATCCCATCTCCTTCACAGCAGCAGACCCCAACCTCGACCAGCTCTCGTATGTCCGCTGGTAGTGCTGTTGAGATGTTGATTGAAGACTACCGTGATGATGGTATGGTTCTAGAGGAACCCATCCCTGTAGATGTCTCATACAACTCAACGGCTGTACCAACATTAGCTTCATCTCTGCTTTGGGCCGCATGCCCAGAGTTTTTGGGTATGCATGTCTTCGGATTGCCACAGCCAGAACCAGATGCGTGGAAATTTTATACCATAGGCAATACAGAAACGAAGAGATACGCCCCCCATATCAAGGACTTTGCTCCCATCAGTAGTAACGAATTATGGAAACCAAGGGCCAAAGAAGTCAATTTGGCAACAAATAAAGCGCTGCTCTGGAGTGGAATTGCACTAGCTCTGCCTCTGCGGACGAAAGCCACCAATCCTCGTGCCAACTCCTCATTACTATGGACACGGCCTAAGACCATATCAGAGTCAGAGACGTCAAGGTTATTTGATATCAGTAACTCTAGGGCAGACTATCGTAAGACGTCGAAGGATCCTGTTGCTCTACGACTAGTTAAGAAAACTTATGCAGTGGAGATGTCCCTTGAGACATTAAGCTCAAATAGCCTATGGGGTGTAGAGAGCAACAAAAAACCCTCATTGCTGTGGGAACCTCCCATTAACGTTCAGTTCATTGAGCATGATGGGCTCTTCAGCAGTAATACCTCTAGATTGGAGTATCGTAAAACTGCCAAGGAAGCTGCCGCTATCTCTATGAAAAGCGCTCGCCGCACAAACGAGGAGCCGCTAGGGATTCTGAAGACAAACAGTCTATGGTCTAATGAATACGAAGCCCCTCTGGATGATATTCATCTTCCTCGATTATTTACGCCCAGTTACTCCAAATTGGCTTCCCAGCCGGCCAAAGCAAATATCGTGTCCCGAACCCAAGCCAATTCATTGTGGGAGAAGCTAGAAACGACCCCAGAACCTGAATATAAAGGCCTATTTAATGTAAACGTCACGAGGAATGACTACCGGAGATCTTCCAAACTCCCGGCCGCGATTAACGTAAACCGAAGCGCTCGAAAGCCGAATACGGAAGATCCTCTGAATATTTTGATAAGCGCAAAGCTCTGGGAAGTGCGGTGTGAGCCTAGTTGTGTGCCCATCTCCAATCCGATATCATTGTGGAGCAAGACTACCGCTTCGACGCTTAGCACACCCAGCTTATTCCAACTCGACTCAAGTCGGAAGGTCTATCGAACTACTTCAGCTCTGCCGGCCGCACTCAAAATGGCCCGAAAACCACGTTTCAATGATAAGCCGCTTGCAATTGCATCGGCCCACTTATGGACTAACAGACAGGCTACCTCAGCCGGATTAAACTGGATCTCGATCTCTTCTATACGCCCTGAGAGTCCATCTATCGCTTCGGCGTCTACAGTGAGCAGCCACTTTGGTACGATGACAGCCCTGCGGGCTTCCTACCCACGAGACTGGGAGGCAGCTCTTCAGGTTGCTATCAAGGCAAGTCAGGCCACACCAAGGTTCGCTCGCAAAGCTGCGTCACCCCGAGACTGGTCCACTGCACTTCACAAAGCTATTATGGCTTCTCGCCCTCAATTGAGGTTCTCGAGAGGTCAAGCTCTGCCAGCTCAATGGGGGGCTGAACTCGAGGAAGCCATAGCTAGAAGCCAGCCACCTAAGGTCAACAAATTCGATGTTGCTGTCCGGCATCCTGTGTATATGGGATCACTGGAAACGACGGCGGGAGCAGTTCATCCAGCAATCGGGCCAGGGCCAGATACAGCATTTATGCTCTGGACTAATGGACAGAAGACAAAGAGCGCTGTTGTGAAGGCTGTGAAGGGATTATGGACTCCTTCCATTAAAAGTACCTCAGATATACGCATAAAACTACCTTTTGGCAGTGAAGTTGTGCATGTTAACTCACGTAAAAGCAAGACAGCGCCGACTTCCGAAATGGAAGTTGAAGCTGACTTCGGTGGGCAAGGTTTATGGAAGCGTGGAGAGAGGGGCAATTCTAGGATTCCTAATAGGGACTGGCTCGATGACTCGATGAAAAAACGGTTTACACGAGTTGAATTAAGGTATTGAGTGGCTAGGTTTTGGAAAAGTAGAAGGAGGGGGATGTTTAGGAATACGAAATTTCCTTGCGCGATATTGTATTTTGCTATCCAGCGGCAATACTTTGTATATATGTCGGTATATAGGTATGTACCTGCCTACATAATGTAGGAAAGGTTAGGTACCTAGTATGTAACTTCAGCTTACTCCGTCTTACTCGAAGCTGGGCCATCTCTGCCAGCTCCAATCTCGCTCATTGAATGTCTGTGGACCTAGTGGCGTAATCGTCTTCTGCTATGAATTAAATAACACTCCAGAGGGAGCATTGTAAGTTTGGGCCGCGAACCAGCCGTACCTAGTCACTTTTGACACGCGTTGAATGCAGCCTAGTTTTTGGTAATTCCAATGACTACTTGGGTCCGAAATCCTAAAATACTCCTCAGAAATCCCAATTTCATATCTTACATAAAATTACAAAAAAAAAAGAAAACCAATTCAATGATAGTACGCGGAGATTACATTGTCCCCATCTGCCTTTTCTCTCTTCTGTGTCCCCTTCCCCCAATGCCTTTCTCCTCGCTCACCCTTCTATTATTTCGTTTTCCCGCAGCCCAATACATGAATGTCTTTTGATATACAAAAGTGTAAAAAATATCCGTTGACGTTGAGGAGCTCCTCCTTGTATACCCCGTCTGGAGGCACAGCTACTCGTTGGGTATCAAAGTAACACTCATAAAAGATGGTCTGGCCGCGACGTTACATGTCGTGGGGCCCTCGGTCCTCGGCGCGGCCTAGTACGCTGGCTCCAGCAAACACGTCCTGGGAGCCTTCACAGAACCCCATGAAAAGTCGGGATAATCTGTGCAATCAAGAAACTGTAATGCCACAGTGGCCCTCCGAGATGGATTCATTCGACTGTATCCCAGGACCTTCTACCATCCCTACTTCTCAAGTGACTGGCGACAGCATTATACAAACACCTCTCAGTTTGGGCCTCTCCCAGCTATCCCCTATAGACCCTACTCTCACCAATTATTCTGCTTATCCGTACCCTGGCTCAGAATCACCACAGAGCCAGCAGCAAACTCAGATTCCCAAATTCTATTTAGAAGCAAGCGGAGTCCAACAAATGGGCCAGATATATAAAATTCATGGCACCAGTATTCCTGTGACGGTCACCCCAGATTACCATTCCTCCATCAATGAGAGTGCGATAGAAGCATTGAGGCTCGTGGACCGCCCCCTTCCCAGGGAGATATTGAAACATACTCGTCCAACTGATCAAAGGAGATACGTACAGTTCGAGCTCATACTCGGAGGCCGTACCTTCCCAGTCTCAGCTATGGTGAAAAAAGGTAGCGACCTGTCGATATCTCTTAGCCATAATTCTGAGTTGGCAAATATATTAAACCCAGCACTGGGCTGCTTTTTACAGACCAATCTTACTAGTAAGTCTATTAAAATGCACTTTTCCCTTTGTCCACAACACTAAATCTTACCTCTAGCCAACGCCCCTCATCAAGAAGTCACTTGGTCTTCCACAACATTGCAAACGTCTAATGGACAAATACGGCCACCTGAGAATGTCGCGGCGTTCGATCAATCGTCATGGACGCCTAGCCTCACAGTAGGAAGCACGGTAGGAAGCACAGATGTGTTTATCCCATCCCCGTCGACAGAGGCGGCAATGTCCCAGACCGGACTATATGACTCTGGGCCATGTGACTTTGGGCCATGCGACTTTGGGTCACATGACATTGGGCCTCAAGCAGAATACACCCCGAAGGACAATCCACAACCCTATACTCAAGGTTATCGCCCAGGCAATCAAAACTTTAGCAGTGGCGATGCTGGCCTGTGAGCTTTTACGAAGAAGACAACGCCTCGCAGAGGGAGCCTGTTCATTGTTGATACACATGCTTCCCTGGGATGGACACGGCTTTGGAACACCTCCAGTACATGCTGGCCATAAAGCAACTTTGATAGTTCATCGCCGTCATACTGTCTAGTAGGAATCTTGGATACATTAGGTACTGTTTCGGCTCGGAGCGGCTTGGAAATTTGGCATTAGGGCTATGAGTGATGATAATTTTCTTCTCTTCCGCAGTATATAGTATTACCTACCCTTAGGGGAAGCCTCATAAATATGGCGACCATGTTAAAATACTTTTTATCCCCCCCCCCCCCCCCCCCCCCCCCTTTTTTTTTTCACATGGAACTGGACTGGCGCATGCGATACCCGCGAACTTTTCATTCATGTTCTTATCTTTATTTTCATGCTTTAGAAAATCAAATGTTCCTTCTTTTGTTTGCTTTTTAAAAAGGGGGATGAGATGAATTAGGCCATGTAGAGGAGGTAGCTTATTATGGACCAAATAAGAATATTAGATATCTACTATGTAGATATATGCAAAATGATTTTCATGGCACTTTGATACCACGGTCGTTCACCTTTCTTCGAAGTTTAGTGTTGTAGTATCGTATGTAGTCAACATATGTAGTCAACGCTACCTAGGTTAGGTATGAAAGCTAGTCACTCAACCAACACCAACTCGGTTAACATGTAAAAAATATCCAAGATAGACACCCACTGCGGCTGAAGATCCGAGTAGATGATGGCTTCGGGATGATATCATTATGCATAATTAACTCTTTCCTAATAACACTGGATCTTAACATGACTTCAAAAAACCTCGCCGTGTTCGGAATGAGTTGGCCGCATATTGTTGTATTATTGTACTGTTGGAAGTCTATGCTGTAGCTGAACAGGTACGAACTTACTACGAAGCGGATGGCGGAAGGGTTCAATGTTGTCAAGAACACATGACGATAAGCGAAATGCGGTATTTATTATCAACGTTGTCAGATTACGTATACTACTACTAGTAGTATGTATGTATATACAAAATGTATGTACAAAATGTATGTATGCCTTCCACCGCTTTTTAATACATAGTGTATGAATACATGGTAAATTATGTATACTCTCAGCATGCAGTGAATGCACATCCCCCGCGCTTGGTATCGCGGTTCTAGACTCACTGGACATACGTACTAACTAAATATAACCTTAAAAATATAACCTTAACCAGTATTACGCGCCGGTGCTGTTAGATCTGAGGCGTGGGAGACGTGGGATGTGTGGGGAAAACTTAGGTCACCTGGACATTTTCCGAGAATTCAAAGATTAAACCTCACCACTTGATCCTAGTACCTACAACTTAGGCTACAAGGCTACAACTATCTACATAGTACCAATATCACTGATGTTTGTTTAACTTTAATAATAACATTAAAGGAAGCTACACATGTATCGGCGGTGTAGGCATTTGCACTTAAGCAGCTAACCTAGGGACTTAGGGTAGACTGCGTAGTATGTAGTTACCTACCTACCTAATTATGTATCACCTAGTGCCCACTGTATCATTGTTTGACTTCCCACAGGTTGACATGAGAAGAAATGCGTGCTAGGTAAGCACCTATATCTGGTATAAATTATGAGTGAAAAAAATAAATAAAAAAGAGTAGTTGAAGCAAATTGAAACTATTAACTAATACTACTATGTAGGTATATTGATGTAGGTACCCTAGGTAGTATCATCGTCGGGTCGGGTTTAAACAGACTTAGCTTCGCTTGGCAGTTTGTCTATTGTATATATAGTATATCTAGTGCATTAGGATTCAAAATTGCATCGATATATACATATGTATGCACTTATGGTAAGCATAAAATCATTAGGTCCCGAGTGACGGCTTATCCTTAGCTGCTGATCTAAAATAAGCCTAATTGATATTAAACTATCGATATCTTATTTGTCGATAATCTCCTTTAAGTTTCTTATAACCTTACGACGTAGTACCTATGTAGATTCAAAGGTTAAAAGGTAATGTGAAAAGCATGAAAAAAAAAAGAGGAAATGGAAGTAGTATATATATTCTCCAAGGGGAAGGAATATCTTTCTTTCTCTTTCCTTTCTTTAATCCTCGTTTACTATCTGGTCGTGATTTCTGTTTTATAGAATATCTGCATAAGTCATAAGTCATAAGTCATAATTCTTCTCGTCAGTACCTACTACCCTACTACCCTACCTGGGCCTACCATCTTAGCTGCTTGATAGTTGGTTTCTACCAGTTTCCTGACAGGGATATACATAGGTAGACTTGACTGTTAGGTAGCTTACCCTGGGAGGTCCATGTCGGTCAGGCTTTGAGCACAAAAACAGAACAAGAATTTTTATTTTATTTTTATTTGCCCTGCTACTTGTCACTAACATACCCATCCACCCCATCCACCCATTCTATCTACTAGTTCACGACACCCAACTAGGTTCCAATCAAACGGAACTCGCCTTGTGACCTGGAGAGGTTTTTTTTTCTTTTTAATTTTGACTTTAGCTTAAGGAATTATATCTTTTCCTCTGCGGCGTTTCCTCACCGATTTCGGATTCTTTACTACCTACCATCCATCCTCCTCTTTCATCCCCCTCCCCTTCTCCCCTTCTTCTCTCGGTCAATTCCATACATAAATTGACGAGCTGAGCTCTACCTTTTCCTTCTTCCTCTCCTGCTCCTCCAATCTACTTACTCTTAGCACTTTTGCCCCTTGCCCTTTACCTCCAGAGTTTCTGCTGAGTTTCTGGCAATATCGAGACGAATTCAGATCACTCTCCCTGCCACGCTCCACGTATACCTACTCAACCATCTACTACACACGCTCGTACGCACACATCTCATCTACATCTACACATACATACTTCCTCTACTCTACAACAATGTCGGGTCGGTCAGCACTTCGTATTGCCAGAGCCACGGCTCCTTTTGTCTCCAGAGCTACTCATGCTTTTGTACCTGTTTCAAGGGCATTTCCCGCGGCTCAACGAGCATTCACCCAGTCCTCAATCCGATCCAGGAATGATGTGGTACGCGAGACCGAGGTTCCAGTATCGGTCTACTCGCCGGACTCTAAAGGCACTGCTGGCTCTACAAGCGACCACTTCAGCATTCCCGTTAACCGCGATGACGCCAAACCGAAGCCATTCCCACCTCCCGAGGATACTGAAGTTGTGCCGCTAAATGACCAAGTCTACCGCCAAATGCCACCGACTATGCAGAAGATGAGCATTATGAACAAGGTCGTCATCGTCACTGGGTAAGTTATATTCATATACGTGTATTCGTGACGTGCCTGACTCCGAAGCAATTTGTTAACAAGACCATCTACAGAGGAGCCAGGGGCCTAGGAAATCACATGGCCCGCGCTTGTGCTGAGGCCGGTGCCAAGGCTCTAGTGATCTTCGATGCAAACCAGGAGCTCGGTGATGAGGCGGCCGCTGAATTACATCAAAAGACTCAACTTCCTGTATCTTTCTTCAAGGTCGATGTTCGCGACGGCGCTGCCATCAACGCCGCAGTTGACTCTGTCGTCGAGACCTACGGCGCTCCTGACGTGCTAATCAACAGTGCTGGTATCGCCGACTCCAACATCAAGGCCGAGGCGTACGACCCCGCCATGTTCCGCCGCTTGATCGACATCAACCTAACGGGCTCATTCCTCATGAGCCAGTCGGTCGGACGTGCGATGATGGCAGCCGGCAAGCCCGGGTCTATTGTGCTAGTTGCTAGCATGAGCGGTAGCATTGTCAATTACCCGCAGGAACAGTCCTGCTATAACGCGTCCAAGGCCGGTGTGATCCAGTTTGGCAAATCACTCGCTGCCGAGTGGGCCAAGTATAATATCCGCGTCAACTGTATCTCGCCCGGCTACATGGACACGGCCTTGAACCGCGTACCTGCCCTCGAGGCTCAGAAGAAGATATGGCGATCTCTCACGCCGCAGGCCCGCCTGGGCAACGTCGACGATCTGAACGGTCTCTGTGTCTTCCTTGCGAGTGATGCTAGCGGTTTCATGACCGGTGCCAACGTTGCTATCGATGGTGGCTACACATGCTACTAAGATGTCTAACATGGCCACACCCATGCCATGCGATAATATAATCAAATTATCGACGTGATAAGGTGATTATCATGAGGTTATGCACATACAGATATCGGGGCTATACTCTTTAGCCGGGGTCTAAATCATACGTGGTAATTGGAGGTTACTTAGGGTCGACGATTGCCTTTAAGCAATATACAAACCCTATCATGAAGTATTGAAAGGTAGTCACGTTATGTTGTGGCATCATGGGGGGTTTCGGGTTTATATGCAACTCCGAAGAGTCCTGCACGTGGGCACAGGTACACAGGCTAAGGATGCGATTTCCAACACTCTCTGTTCTAAGTTTCTCTCGGGTTTGCCCTCATTGTTCTTTATCTCGGTTGATACATTACGCGACATACTCATCATTGATACCGACCTACACACCGTGGGGATCTAGGGTCAACTCATATGTCGCGGACAAAGATGGGAAACGGCGAATTGATACCAAATACTATGATAGAAGGGGTAAAACGACTTGGGCTTATTCTTGTTCTGGGAAGGAAAATCAAAAATTGCTTTTATAAAGATTAGACAAGCTGCTGGGCCTGGCTCCAAGGAGAGGAATGGGTACAGGTCGGACATGGACACTACAGCACATTCTAGACGGGACTAGCAGTTCTACGCCCCAAGGTGGCATACAATATATCAATGGGATGGTACGAAAAGAAAGAGCACTATGTACACTCCTTCCTAATGAACAATGAATTCCAAGCTGTAGGTATGTGCAATTCAAATGATTTATATACTATATAGACCGGTACCTAAGTAAACAACACCCGTAGGCACTGGAGGGCGAACAGTAGAAAGCCCAAGACTCATTTTACCTCTTGCCGTAAGATCGTAACTTGACCTCAAAACCCCCATAGGCAAGATTGCTTGTATGCCATAACAGAGTAGATACCTGGGCCTACTCGAACTCATAAATTCGCAATACTTCGTATTTATATTTGATACCCTTCGGCCAAGGGCGTGCATACGGCTATGCTTGAAAGTGCATCCGTTTCATCTAGCTCGTCTCTAATTTCCGATGGGCATTCCCCAAAGTATGGTATCGTGTCGATATGTACAAAACAGGGCGGATTCACGAGGAGTGTCCAACCAGGATCAATTGCCGCTATATTCCTCTCATGCCTCCCCCTGACGCCCCTGTAAGCTCGAGCAAAGACGTGCTCACTCCGAGGGTAGAGGTACACAAAATATCCTCGACCACCGCGAGTTTGATAGACCCAGCATCTTCTCGTTTTTTTTTTCTGGCAATGAACTGATCAGGTTCCAACAGTCGTATAGCTAGAAATATCCCAACACGTCATTTAAAAATCATATAGCGGACATTTGAATTACCTATTCAAAATGTCCAAAACCTAACCCTTGCTGGCCTTCTCCTCTAGCCGGGCTTCCCTGGCGGCTCGGACGAGTGGAGATAATGATGATAAGTCAACACACAGCTTCATGAAATCGTGCTATAAGATAATGTTAGTTTTCAAGATTCAGATAAGAAATGACGGGAAGAACGCACTCTAAGTAGGTCGTGCGCGCTGGCTCTTTTTTCCGGGTCTACCTTCAGAGCGAAGTATAGGAAGTCCTTAAACACCAGAGACAGATTGTGCTCTTCCTTAATTTGTGGCGTGCCGTTCGTAGCGATTAGCCACAGAGCACGGAGAGGTGACTCGGTAAGATACGGGGGTTCTCCTTCGATCATCTCGATGGCCATAATACCTAGAGACCAGATGTCGACTTTCCTTCCATATTCCTTTCTAGTGACGACTTCCGGTGCCATCCAGTATGGCGTGCCAACCATCGTTGTCCGCTTGTTATGCGCCTCGTTGATTTGTGCGCAAAACCCGAAATCAGCTGTGAGAATGTGTTAGGTGGGACGTGACCGGTTGCGACGAGTCAGAAAAGGAAGAAAGGGGAGGAGAGAGAGTAAGAAAGAAGGAATAATTGAAAGAACCAGGGAGATAGATGGCTTACTGAGCTTGATATTTCCATCTAGTGACAGTAGAATATTATCAGACTTGATGTCCCGGTGAATAACTCCTTTAGAGTGTAGATGCTGCAGGCCCTTCAAGGTCTCCCTGCAGACTGAGGCAATCTGCCCTTCTGTCATTATATTAAAAGTAACCACATCAGTTAAGCTACCGCCCTCCATGTACTCCATGATAACCCATAGCTCGCCGCCACATAGATAGCTGTCAATGAAGTTGACGATGTTTGGGTGCGAGCTCTCCTTCATAACTAGAATTTCATTGATGATTAAGTCCTTTTTAGGCTGTTGCTCCAGGTTCATCTGCTTGATAGCTACTAGCCTGTTTGATCCTCGTTCGTGACCAGTATAGACACCCCCAGATGCACCTTGGCCAATCTTGGTGAAACTGCGGTATATTTCGCGAGGGTCACCCTCGGAGCAGATACGTTTAAGAGCCGCTGCCACGTCTATGCTAGTGCTTTGCCGCGGCCGGTTGCGGGGACGCGCTTGTTGTGCCGGAGGTCCAACGCGTGCTGGGTGCACAGCGCTGCTGGTGCCATTAGCTTCCGGTGGACGGCCCATTTGGTGCTGCGAGCTAGAAGGTATGGGATGAGTGGGGGCTTGTTTAGTACTCGCGGATCTACTAAGCTGTCCCTTCATAGCAGCCTGGGCTTGTGCCATGGCTTGTTCTTGTTGTTGTTGCATCAGCTGCTGTTGATACACGGCCTGAACGGCGGATGACGATTGGCTAGTGGGGACGTGAGGCTGGGTACCGTTGGCTCGCGAGTTCGATCTTGATCGGTGCTCTTCGGGGAGCATAGGGACATTGTCTTTCGACGGCTGCGTATGCATGTTTGCTGGGTGGACATCTTCGCTGGCCTGAGATATGCCAATGCCCGAATCTTTCGTAACGTAAGGTGACTGCTGTGCGGCTCGGGTCTGTAAGGAGATGGGGGGTTTCGGCGCGGGTCGGCTGGGCTGCAAATTGGGGTGGTCCTTGATAGAGTGCAGCGCCGGGCCCTTTCCGGGTACAGGTACTGGAGGGGGAGCGCGGGGGTTTTCAAAGGTGCCTTCATTATTCACGATTGGAAATCTCGGACTTGCTGGTGGACTGATCATAGGTGACATACCCGCATAGTTTGACGCATACATGCCGGGGGATGTTGCCATTCCACCAGAGGGAGTGCGCATTTCAGGAGCTCTCACATCGTGAAACTTCTCTAGGACCTGATCCTCGTGCGGCTTCTCCGTGGTCTCTTTATAGAACGTAACGATGTCTACCATCATTTGAGGGTTTTCCCTTCGAGCATTCTCTGGAATGCCACTCTCGTTTATTAGACGTTGCCACTCTTTGGGCAGACCCTGTAGATAGAGCAATTAGTATTGGTATAGAAGCCTACCCAATAGACGAAAAACTATGTCGGGGTGAAACAAACCGTAAATTGGCCAGTAGAACTATCATAACCGACATGGGTGACATGAACTGGATTTTCTGGCGCTGAAATGACGGGTTTCTTTGGCGATCCCACCAATGTGCTCATGAGGCCCGAGAAGCCCGACTTCTTTCTCAATACACCGGGCCCTTTAAGTTCCTTGCCTTCGTCAGAATATCGCTTTGGGGAAGTGACTTGGGCGTCATTGACACGCGCGCCGTGTGATTTCTCCGACATACTGCCGTCGAAGGCGGAAAAGCTGGTTGACTGCCGTAAGGAAGGGGTCATTAGACGAGGATCGGGATTTAGATTCGATGGAGGGGCCGGTGCAGGACGAGCTTGGGTCGGATGTTGATAAGTGGGCGACTTGGTGGCTTCGAAATGGTTGAGGATGAAGTTGCCGTCAAAGGGCGCACCGATAAATTCTTCGGGTGTCTGGGAGGAGAGGGGTTGACGGAGATGAAAATCGGAAGACAAACGCTGATCTCGCGATGTTGAGTGCCCAATCCCAATCCCAATCCCAAGGCCAGTGCCAGTGCCAGTGCCAGTGCCAGTGCCAGTGCCAGGACCAGGACTAGTACCAGTGCCGGCTCTATAATCAATTCCAGCCCCGTCCGCAGTGGCAGGGAATGCGTTGTTCTTCTTCTTGCTGTTAGAGAGCGGGGGCGAGGTAGAGGCCAGTTTGTTAGAAGACGAAAAGGTGGAGGGGCAGAATTGGTTAGGAGATAGTACGGAAGAAGAGGTAGCAGCGGGGGTAGAAGTGGTATAATAGTCAGTATTGCTGTTGTTTTTGTGGTTATTATTGTTATAGCTGAAAGAGTAAGAAGAATAAGGAATGGGTGGTGGTGGAGGAGGATGACAGGGCGATGCAGAGGAAATCGACGCGTTGTTAATGCCAACGTTAGTAGCAGCGGCAGCGGCAGCAGTGGCAGTAGTATTGGGAAAGTTAGCACTTGTAGCCGTTGTGGTAATGAAAGTAGTAGTGGGAGTATTAGTGGGAGTGGTGGGAGTAGTGATAGTGGGAGTTCTGTGGGGAGCGCTTGGAGCTCGCCTCAAACTCGTGGAGCTCCGTTTGCTCTGGAGGGATGCGTCAAAGCGACCATCAGCGGTGAGAGAGTAGCTATGTCCGTGATGATGAGTTGGAGGCTTCTTAGTCAGTCTGTTACGCCGTTGTTGCAGATTGCTTTGAATGTTGCCGTTAGTGTTGTGGCTGTCCATCTCTACCTTCAAAGGTAGAAATGGAAAAAGAAAAAAAAAACCAGTTTTTTTTTTTTTAATTATATGAAAAAGTTCTTTGGTTAGGTATTATTTTGGGGGGAGGGGAACTGCTTTTGGAGGGGGTTTCTTTTCTCCCTTCCCTCGTTTTTTTCTTCTTTTCTTCCTTTTCCTTTTCCTTTTTCCCTTTTTTTTTCTTTCTTTTTTTTTTTTGGTTTTAGTGATAGTTAACCCCCAGAATGAACGGGTCGAGTGATGAAACCATGGGCTGAAGAGACTAGAGAAAATACCCGACCTAATGGAGGGGAGGAAGATGGGGGGGTGTTTGCGCAATTGTTCAGTGCAAGTGCCTGTATGTGGTATGTATGTACAATACAATAACTACACCGTTGACTACTTTAATGATGTACTACTTGAAGTATTCAAGTTCAATGCTACTACATACCTAGTACTAGTACTAGGTACTATGTAGGTTTCAATACATACTATTAGTATTAGGTACTTACATAGTAGATACAGAGTACATACCTTTCCATCATTAATGTATGTGCGACCTGCCTCAAACGTTTGTTCCATTAATAGATGTATACATATGTAGATACCATGTAGTATATATATATAATTATATTACTTATATTATGTAGATGCTATGCAGGACTACTATGTGTATATGTACGAATATTAATTTCAAGTTCAAGTTCAATGTTTAAACTATTAACATACCAAGGGTACCTAGGGTAGTGAGTGTCGTGATAGCTGCTTGAAGCTAAGTGTACATACATGTGTATTGTACGGCTAGTAGCTACGTAGCAGCTGCGTACTATGTATGTATCAAGAGCTATAAATGTAAATATATAGAATACCGGGACAATGGCATAAGGTATGTACATATCGTCAATGATAGTGTCAAATATTCAATTGATGCTTGCCACGTTTTAAACATTGAAGTACATAACTACCTACATACATACATCAATGATAGTAGTAACTCTGAACCTGGACTACATGTGTATGTACCCTAGATGTTTACTATGTAGTCTTTTTTGTCCAATTAAACGACAGTTAGGTTTTGAACAGCTTACTTCTAATGGGGGTTTTATCTATTCATCCTTGCTCCTATTCTCAGCCATTCCCTTTACTTTTACTGTAAGAAGGGTATTTCAAAGGAACAAATCCTTGGTACATGTAGATATCTAAGGTTAGGGTAGTTACAGTATGTACATAGTACACGTATGCCGTACAATATTCATGCTGCTTCTCGATTGTCTGGTTAGAGTGGCAATGCCAAACATTGAAGGCGTGGGTGGACGTCCGGCTTCGTAAAGTTAACACGAAATCAGGTGAATTGATATCACATCATTGATAGCAGGGTTCTTCTATAAACAAAGCTCTCCGAGTCCCCTTGACAAGCCATCACCACATATCCATATCCTCGCTCTCGGACAGGACAGACGGCTACTTTTGAACGGCACGCAATGATTCTAAGATGATTTTACTCCTTCCGGTCCGTGGGGTTGAAAGAAATCAGATGGGGAGCAGTGCATATTGTACTTAGGTATACACATACCTTGAATCGGAATCTATCATGGGGAACGGAATAGGGTTGAGCTCCCAGGTAGCAAGCTACGGGTCTTCTGTCGCCCGTACACCACCAGTCACTACGTAATGTCTTTCGACTAACATGCTACGTATCTAGATATATTCATAAGGCTTGATCGGTTCTGAGTTCTTGTCCGAAAGATTACCTAGAATGTAGATAATCCGTATATCCCCCTTTCAGCCCTCATTTCCATCATCAAATGGTGCAGGTGCCTAATTACTTTGCTTCCCCGTTTCACTCCGACGGTGGGTTAAGACTTAAGATCAAGAGACAGGCGTAACCGGCAATTTGCATACTAGACCACCCGTGACGGTTATTGATAGGCCTATGGATAGTTACATTGGTGCACGTAGATCATATGCATGACAGCTCAGTCTGCCAAATATTGCTAATTTGAACAGAGGCGCTATGCATAGTCGAGAACTTGCACACATTCTCTTCTATTCTGTAGTCTATAAAGTATGGACAATAGTCGCAAGCATGCAGCGTTCTATGTATGCGAGCTTCCGACGAGCTCAATGGTCATGGCCTTGCACCCGTGATAATTGCCGCTAGACTAAATATCTAGGTACCTAACACACGTACATACCAGACTACATATATTATGATACATATCTATGTATATGTACCTTAATAGTAGGTAGGTAATTATATGTAATTGAGGTCCTACCTAAGATACTCGGTATGATGAAGATGAGGCTCGCCGCTCGTATCATAATGGTGCCACTAACTTGCCAACGCTCCGAAATACATATAAAGACATATGGATAAATTAGGCCAGGTATTTGTGAATTTTCTTTCGTTGACGATTCATGTTCCTATGTAACAAGCCGCTTAAAGGTTCGAATGTTGACTAGTCCGAGCCTTATGATTATGTTCTATGATGACTTGATTCGGGGCTCTCACTTGAAATATAATGCGGATATGTAATTATTGTGGTACATTACATGCCCTATGTGCATAAGAAGTACATAGCCTTGAGTACTACATACATACCTACATGTAGGGTACATATGTAGTATCATAGATGTATGATGCTATGTGTAACGTGGCTTCGAGTTAGTAGCAACTGTGGCTTGAAGCCTCGAGTTTGCCAAGTGCCAGGAAATGAAGGCTTGCAGTTGGCTTGGGGATCGAACTTCCCAGGGCTGAATCCTGCATCGTGTGGGCAGGGTGGAGCTCAAATAAACGGCACTAACCTAACCATCTCCAACCTGTACAATACATACCTCCAGGGCTACATTGTAAGGTTCGACGGGATCGGCTAGCTTTTTTTCTTTTTTTTTTCTTGCCTTTTTTTCCCCACATGGAGTTTGTGGGAAGTATCAGTTGATGTACCAAGATAAAAGTATGACTAGTAACAGTGTACACATTGCTATACAAGAGTTAATGAGTACATGGGTTAGCACTAGGTAAGAAGTAGGTAAGAAGTACCTGGCACGAAGTGGCTAGGGCAAATTAATCGCAAGTGCTTCGGATCAATAAAAATCGAAAAGTTCGAATTGCTGGCCAAGAGCGTTTTAGTACTAGCAAAGGTTGACCTTACCTACATAGTAACCTACCTTACCTATCTAGTAGGTGCTAGAAACGAAACTTCCACCTCACCCTTTCACCATTGACAACATTGTCATCGCTGATCTTATATATACTGCCTACCTAACCTAGTCCCATACAAAAACTTTGACTACGATTACTGAAATTACTGTCATATATCAACTGAACAAGCAGATACCTTACTTTACTTTCCCAGCTTCTTACCAAGCTCGCCAATCCACCCTTTGACCATCTCCCAACAATCTTTTCGTGGCTCACGTCTTTTGGCGGTCTCTTCCCAATCACCACCTACATATATATATATATATACCTATACATACACATCTACCTCCTAGGTACCTAGTCAGTAGTCATTCAATCTTTCATCTCACCTTATTGGAATATCTCTCTGCCTAGACAGCTATACATACGCACCATGTTCTAGCTTCCTATCCCGCTCCGTCCAACCGACTCTGTCGTCTATCTCTTCGTCGTCTACAGTCCCGGTAATACTATATACGTGTGATTCTTTCAATAAACTCCACCGTCTCCCTTGCCTTTAAAAGTGTTTCTTCTTCCTGGACACTTTGAATACCATTTCGTGCCTCGCCTTAATTATATAGACCAGTGAGTTTGCCCAGCCCATTTCCCTCCTTGAACTAGGTTGAGTTATCATTCCAACACTACGCAATACTCTCAAAATTCTCGAACCTAACTGTTTATGTCCACCTTCCAGATCTATATAGTGAAAAGCGAGCATCTAAGTCCTACCTCTTTTCATCCTGGAATCCGTCGATTTTGTTCACCCTTTATATATTGTCTGAATATGGCATCCGAGGCCAATAATGTGGAAGGTTCCGCTGCTGCAAGACTCCTTCAAAAACACGCCGAGAATCCTCTCAATGCTACTGTTGAAGACGTCCCCGACGATGACTTGAAGTCAACCTTGGCTGCCGTTGGAGCCCCTGAAAAGCCTTCGTGGGGACAGACTATGTCTGCCAAAGTAGCTGGGAAGCAGCCTACACAGGGACCCAGTTCTTCTCTTGATACCGAATCGCATGAGGCTTTCCCTGAATTGGGTATCCCAAAATTGGCAGCTGCGTCCAAGTCGAATATCTCCCCCATCTGGGGCGGGGCGAAAGTAGGCGCCAATGGCAAGGCAAACGGGGCGTCATGGTCAACGAACGGTACCCCTTTGACTTCTACTCCGCCTTCGGGTGTCTCTACTCCAACTGGAGTCCCCCCTCCTGTGTCAATACCTGGTCGCAATGTTGAAACCGTCCTCCTCGAGTCACGCTATATTATGCCCCGCACCCAACTCAAGCGTCCTATCCCGGACATCGTGAAGGATATTAATCGCAAGTCTCGTGCTGTTATTTCGATGGTCCCGGCCCCCAGCGGTCACCTCAAATTTGAGGCGACTGGGCCACAGGACAAGGCACAACAGGCTCTACGAGACTTAGTTCAGCAGATTGGTGTCAAGGCAAGTAATTATCGGTCCATAATTATGCTATCCAGCTTGGCTGACTCATGCAGACTTCCGTTCACGTCCCGATCCCGCAATCTGCTAGGGCGCATATAATCGGCAAGCAAGGGTCAACCATCAAGGCAATCCAAGAAAAGTCCGGCGCAAGAATTCAATTGCCAAAAGTTGATGAGGTTGCCGGGAACTTGGAAGATGACGAGGATGCGGTTATCGATGTGATTGTTGAAGGGAACGCACTTTCGGCAGCTATTGCCCGCGATGCCATCAACAAAATCGCTGGTGAGCGGTCCGCAAATGTCAGCACGAAGCTCAAATCGATTCCAACCGAGTTTTATCCCTTCATCGCTGGCCCTAACAACCAGCTTGCTGCGGCCTTGGAAGCAGAGCATGGGATTCAAATCCGCGTGCCACCTCACCAGCCATGGTCCCCTTCAGTGCCACAGGTGCCAGCAGCAGGACAGAGGCCAACATTCATAGCCTCTTCCGACGACAATTATATCCAGCTAGCAGGTGACCGCGCCGCAGTCCAATCCGCGCGAGCTGCCATAGAGCATCAGGTGCAAGAACTCCAAAACCAACTACTACTAGACCAAGTGGAAATTCGTCAAGGCACTCATCAATTTATTATCGGTGATAGGGGCGTTCCCATAGAAGATTTCTTCGCTGAAACCAATTGTGTTGTGGTATTGCCCAGTACCCCAGGTATTGATACGGTCACAATTATTGGCCGATCCAACGATGTGAATGCTGGTCTGGAAAAGGCGATGGATTTAGCCACGCAAATCCACACGTCTGTTTTTGATGTCGCACGACATCACAGTCATGCTTCGGGTGGTGCACCCACGTACTCACGAGACATAGCACGTTACCTCCGTCAAAGGAAGGAAATCGAGCGGCTGGAGACGCTTTACCAGATTCATATCAACACGCCTTTCTCGGAGGGAATAGTAAGTCCGTGGGAGCTCTATGCAAGGGAGGGCAAGAATGCGCTCAAAGCTCAGAAGGAAATGAGCTCCATCATAAACAGTCATCCTCCGTCTCGACTGGCCACAGTACCAGTCGATCCGTTCTTTTACTCTTATCTTAAGAGTGATGTGCGACCCAAGATTCAGAATGACTTCGGGGTGAACTTGATTGTTTCGGATACGGCGGACAATGACTATCCCGTGCTGTTAGTTTACGAGGGTGCTGCTGATTCTGCAGACACTTACCAAGTCCCCCAAAAAGTTCCCACCGCATCCGAACTTAAGCAGTTCCAACAAAAGCTATCTGAAGCCCGTAAGCATATCCTTGAGCTCATCAACAAACAAGAGCAGGTTAGCACTGTAACTCTAGAAGTGCCTCTTAAGTATGTGTCCCATAAATCTACTTGAAAACCTACAAATCAAACTAAGATTTGTTCTAGATACCAAGACAAACTCCGGAAGTATATCAAAAAGGAGCAGGATGCGACGACTCGTGCCGCTGGCGATATTCCTGTTCGGGTTAGTGTTAAAGGCACCACGGTCACTATGCGAGGGCCCGTTTCTAGCGTGGAGTCTCTCTCCGGGAAGGCGACAACTTTTGTTGAACAGGAAAAGGAATACGAAAAGGAGCGTGGCTTCACACTGAAGTTTGACTTCCCACAGAAATTTGCCAATCACCTTATTGGCAAAGGTGGTAGCAATATCAACCTTCTACGTGAGAAGTTTGATGTGGATATTCAATTTCAGAACGGGGAAGTCGAGCTGAAGGGTCCCAAGGTAAAAGCTGAGCAGGCAAGGTCTCACATCACATCCCTTGCCCGCCAGTGGGCGGACGAAATCTCTCATACGTTAAAAATCGAGCCCAAGTATCATCGGGAGTTAATTGGTGCCCAGGGCAGTTTGATCCATCGACTGCAGGATCGGTATGGGGTTCACATCAACTTCCCTAAGACCACGAAGGCAGCAAAGGACGACGAGTCTGTTGCAGATGCTGTGAGTGAGGCTGGAAAACCTCGACGGCAACAAGGCCCTGACGAGGTCACCATTAGAGGCCCGAGGAGAGGCGCGGATGAAGCCCGCGATGAAATCTTTTCCCTGTATCAATATCTCAAAGACAACTCGTTCACTGCTTCTGTTGCAGTCCAACAGAAGCAGTTACCTTCGCTGATTGGCTCAGGCGGTGCTGGCATGGACGAACTTCGCCAAACAACAGGGGCGAAAATTGACATTCCCAACGAACGTAACGAAGCTCAAGATGCGACAGTTGAGATTCTGATTAAAGGTACGAAGGCGCAAGTTGCAGCAGCCAAAAAGATTATTGAGGACAAGAGGGTTGTATTCGACGAGACGGTCACGAAGACGATTGAAGTGGACAGGAAGTGGCACAAGAATTTGATCGGTCCTGGCGGTATGTGCAACCCACCCCCTCTGTTGATTCCACGTCCTAACTTGAGCTAGGTTCAACTTTACGTGACATTGTTATCAAAGCTGGCGGCCCTGAAGACAGACGACTTCAGGCTCGAACTGTACAATTTCCGAAGCAAGATGCTGATGGGAATGCTATTAGAATTGAGGGACGACAGGATATCGTTGACAAGATCATTGCCAGCATAAACTCCCTGGTATCTGAGCGCGAAAGCCAGGTTACCGAGGCACTTGATGTGCCTGTCGAAAAGCATCGGTCACTCATTGGACGGGGTGGCGAGGCAAAACGCCAGCTTGAGCTTCAGTTCAATGTCTCCATTGACATACCACGGCAAGGAAGCGGCCTAACCAGTGTGAAACTGGTTGGCCAGCCCGCTAACATAGAGAAGGTGAAGGAGCATATATCATCAATGGTTAAAGAACAACAAGGTGAAACAATCCAAGTCCCTCAAAAATATCATCATGCTATCTCCGAAAACGGCCAATTCTTCCGCAGGCTAAGGAATGACTATAAAATCACGGTGGATCACGCTGGCCATGCTGTGCCTGCGAAGCCGAAGCCGTCGTCAACACGGACTAATCCCGACACACTCCCCCTGATTACGGATGACGTTGAATCAGTTGTGGATGCTCACTCCTGGACGACCGTCGACACCACCTCCTCGGAGGATGGGGAAATTCCGTGGATACTAAGGGGTAATCCAGATAACATCGAGAAGGCGAAGAAGGCAATCGCAACAGCGCTTGAACAGGCCCAGAAGAACAATACCATAGGCTATCTTATTCTGCCCGACCCGTCCACGTACCGTCACGTCATCGGCCAGGGTGGCTCAAAAGTGAACTCGATTCGTAAACAGAGTGGCTGTAAAATAAGTGTCCCTCGTGACCAGACAAGGGATGAGGCCATCGAGATCATAGGCTCCAAAGAGGGCTGCGAGAAGGCCAAGGAGCTCATCATCCAAGCAGTGCGTGAGGGGCAAGTTGGAAGAAGAGATTAGAAGTCTCAACGTGGTATGGCGGCTTCATCCAAGGCTTACGTCTGGGTTTGATTGGCAATTTGGGGGGTTTTAAAAGGAGCTTGGTGGTCTCAATATTTTTAACAGTAGACTGACCACCTACTTTAGACAGCTGTAAATCATTAAATTACATAGCATCAGATAAGCGCCCACCTATACATAAATAAAGTTGCTCAGATAATACTCGGGATAAACTATTATTAACGAAGGGTGACAAGTATCAAAAGCTAGCTAAGCCGTAGCTAAAAGTGGCCTTGTGGGCAGCACAATGATAACTCGACCACTCACTGTCAACAGTAGCTCTTTTCTATTCCCGAAAAGCTTTTCCCTCTCTTTTCAAAACAAAAGCGGACCTTCTCCCTTTTGACCAAGTACATTACGGTGTGAAGCACGACATATTCACTTCTACTAATATGCGCAAGATAGCGTCCAGGCGGGAGTGTATTATGACGCGCAGATACGTGATTAGTGATACATTTAGGTAGGTACCTACTACCTATTCTTGTCCTTGGAGGTACAACGCCAATATGGGGCTTTCTTTTGTGCTGCCCTCGCCTTCTTTCTTCCATCCTCCCAATCAACTGACCGAATGTAAAACGCCTGGGGTATTTATTCATCCTGCACACATGATTTAATTTCAATCATGACCCTGAAATCAATTTTACCTCCTAGTCATCCTGTACTAGCTGTAGAAGGGAGGTAATATAGTCGGCCTGAAAAGATGTTAGTTAGCAAAGTGATGTGAGTGGCGAATCAATATAGATCAATAAAAAGGTGAGGGTTAGGAAGGTAGAAGAAAGGAGAGAAAAGAAAAGAAAAGCGCACCAAAGCCTTATTTTCTGTCATAACCTCAAATAAACGAGCCATGACAGGACGAAAGAGCTTCTCGTTCCAACCACCGCCCTCGCCACCCATCTCATGTTTCTTTAATAGCTGCTCCTCAGACTCTGTTTTGACCACATTGCGCGCAATGTTACGCAATACCAGAACGGCGCTCAGCGGGATGCCAGCTGCCTGCTCGATCTTAGGGTTTCGCTCGTCCTTGGTAACAATAGTCTGTTCCCAGGCAAGACTCATGGTTTTTGCTGGGGTGATGTAAGCCTTGCGCTGTCGCTTTGCTATCGATTCCACTGCTTCGCCTGGTACGCGTTTTGGCGCCGAAGGAATATGAGTCTTGGTGTGACAGGCAAGTTGTGATAGCTTAATTTGGTCACGTGTTGTCGCATACTTATTGCAGCCCTCCCAATTACACAATGCGGGGATTTCTTTGTCTTCAATCTTACCACCTTCGCCTATGGTGACTCCTAAATGGGCCGTGAGGACATGATGCCACATCTTCTCCCCGCCAAGGAAGAAATGGTTGCATTTCTTCCAGTAAGGGCCCTTGGTTATCATCCACCGGCATGGCGAATACTCCTCTTTTGTCGAGGGATTAATCGGCAACGTCCGTGCTCTGATACCTTCAATTATGAAAAGATCAGGCTGCTCAGACCGCGGACTCCTCCTGATAATTTGGGCTCGTGCACTTGAAAACAAATGACTGACATTTCTAATGAAGTCTGCCGCCACCATGCCTTTCTTGTTACTGGTATTCAAGTGCCCGAATGAGCGTTGATAGGCTGACCATATGGCAATCTGTGTGATATGCGATTCGGCGTCTTCCTCGAATAGACTCTGTAGCCATTGAAAGCATCTTTGAGGCTCCTCGGTGTTGTCTTGTTTCTCTTGGAGATCCGGAGGTAAGGGTGCAACTTCTTCTGAGGAGGGCGCTTTTCGTTCCGGCTCAAGAATTCGATCCTCCTTCACTCTTTTAGCCCCATGAGCTAGTAGCCGAACAAGATGTGGAACGACGTGTTCCATATTAACGGCCTTCAGTAGGGATTCAACATTAGCCACCACCGCTGTATACTGGTAGAGGAAGTCTAGGCATGCATCCATCAGTTCCTCGTCATTAAGTAAAAGCCAGTTTATGATATTTTGCAGAACTGAGGCGGGGACATTCTGCAGCTTGTTAGTTGCATCCAGGTTCATCGAGATTCGGCTGATTGCACGAAGAGACGTCAAGATTATGCCACGGTCTGTCGAATCCAGCTGAGAAAGCATTGTTCGATACAATGGATCGTGGGAATCGAGCATCAGCCAAGGTGTGAGCTGTTCAGCGATGTCCAGAGCAAAATGCTTGATTTCAACAAGCATCTCTAGATTTGGCAGATGCAGAAGGATGCAAAGCAAGTCCTTTAAGGGATACACGTCTGCCATATAAACAGCGTTCTCCATCAACATGACCATGTTTCGAATGGTTAGAACGGCCTCGGTGATACGCAACAAACGGTCGCTAAATTCTGCGGGCTGTGTGTAATCGAGAACGGGCTTGGGTGTGAGCATTGCGATTCGCTCGAGGATGTCGCTCGTCCCGTTGAGCCCGTCAAGAATAGAGATATCCAAGCTTTCCTGGTCGTTGGAGTAGGCTATCTGCCAGTCAATGTCATAAAATAGACTGCTTATTTCCAACGCTTTTTCGATGAGGCCCTCTGCTAAACCGTGAAATGATTCGAATTTGTACTTATCACCGCGCTCAAATGAAATCTTGACGAGGTGATTTAGCGCGAATGACTGTTCGGCTGGAATGCCTGAACGGAGAGCTTGGAGACAGCGCATGTAGATATTAGGGCCTTCAAATCCAATACCAGGGATAGCAGGACGCATGGGCATTTGCCCATCCGTAAGACTAGCGGCTATCCGTAATTGGCGTTGTCGTTTGGCGAATTCTACAGGGTTGTTACCCGGTGTATTGACTGGACGGAGGGGGACGGATATAGGAGGACGTGGTTCAAATAGCTCCGCCAAGCGCGAGGCAGTCTCCATATTCGTAGGAGTATACGTAGTAGAGGCACCTCGCAGAGCGGCCTGTTGTGCTTGTATCAGGTGTAGAGGGTTGTTGGAATTGTGATTCTGCGAAAAGTGATGGTTGGGGTGTTGCGCATGAGGGAGGTGAGAAGTATGTGCAGTGTTGGGGGCAGTATTAGTTGGTGTATTGTGGTTGGAAGAAGGTTGTCTGGGTTGGCGGCTCGGGCCGGTCTCAGGTTGGAAGGGAACCCGTTGCGGAGGCGCCTCGCGAAGACGACCAGAAGCTCTATTTCCAGAAACAGGTGTACTCTCGGCCTGTCGGTCATCTCGGCTAGGAGTCTCAACACCCGAGCGGCTTCCAGGTAATTTGAAATTATCGGTAGTGCGAGTCAAAACTGGGCCATTCTTGCTCGCGCATGACGTAGCCTCTAGAATCTCTTTGGGGGGAGGCTCTCTACCGTAGTGGTCATAAATCCAGAACGCTGCGAGATATCTGTAAAAGTCTTGTTTCAGTTGAAAGGAAAGCTGGCCGATCCCCTTGCTGTCTACGTGGTGCATGCCCAGCTCAGCAGCAAGAACGCCCCAGGCCTTCTGAACTTTGTTGAGCTCATCATAACCGCCTTTTGCAATGACTGCCTTGTATAGCTTGAGCAAATCTACATTGACGTGACCATGCATAGTAGGAAGACGTGGCTCGGGCTCGAAAGCTGTTCCACGTTTTTCGTGGAAAGCTGTAAGCTTCTGGATAAACTCGTTATACTCTGGAGTCCGATCAATCTCATGGATATAAACATCTTTGTTACCGGGACCCCGATTAGGTGCCATATTGAATCGAAAAGGGGGCAAATTCGCGATAATTATCGTCAGGGAGAAGGAAGGAATCAAGTAGCATTAGCTGGCAAGTAAGCCAGAGCATTAGTCTGGTCGCAGGCTTCGTCCACTTGTCCTGCTTGGTTACTAATTTTTATGTACTTGATGAAAGGTCGCGAACAGGTGTGATGGGCAATTGATAGGCAAAGCGTGTTAAGAATTAAAGAAAGAAGAGGGCGATTGGTATCTTTGATGGTTAAAGGTGACGGGAGGTATCGATGTCTTGGGAAATTCGACGATGTTGCGCAGATTAAGATTGGAGTTGATGAACTACAAATGTATTCTGTATTGGTCGCAAATCGCGAAAATGAGTTGGATGGAGTTCCGAGCGAGTCGTGTCGAGCCAGAAAATGCAAGTGGGGCCGTGCTTTTTTAGCTCGCCCTGATGTAGTACATTTGATACCTACTAACTAATGTAGTAACTACTTTACAAGTTTACTGCCCAGTGTACTTATCTTGGTCCCGACTCACTGGGTAGTAGGTATGCAGTATTACATACATTGTACGAAGGCTGCGGCCCATAGTACCTCACTACCTACATACTAGGTATGTAAATTAGGGTATCATGTGGACGAAAATAATACATTATAATTATAGCACCTGATAGCACACCTAGAAGCTATAATGTGCTATAATTGTAAGGGTTGTAGGGACTTGGCAATAAATTATGTAGTGCCTAGCAGAGCCCTTCAAGCAGTGACGCACTATGGGGCAGAGGTATTTTTTCGTCTATAGTTTTGGCCGCAGCCTTCATGCATAGTAGTCTGTAACTATGTGCTATTATTGATATATGTAATCACCAATAAACTTTTTACCTCGAATAAACTAAATTTCACCTTACATATGCGTAAGGCAACTCACACAAATCTTGAATGCACAATACCGTTGACATATCTTCCATACCCGGTATGGACATAGTAGCTGTATGTACCCAGAAATACTTATACTTTACATAACGTTACCTCTTACTAAGTTACTAACCTAGGTATCAGGTATCAGGCACCCTATCATGATGTAGTAGGTTCCAGTTGACATCTCGACGTTCAATGTTTGTATTATTTTTCAATGTTAAAACTTGAACCCCCCCCCCAATCATCAACCCACTTTGAAATCTACAGCATTCAAGCATCAAACACCTCGTCATTGTTGCCCGTCGCTGTGCATGGAGGTGCATCAACCTCATACCTACATAACCTACATACATACCTAGGTTAGGTTAGTATTATAGTACTATAATACTATAGAAACCCTTTGATTCGCCCAACTTCATCTATTCTTCTTCTTCTACTACTACTACTACTTTCTTGCTACACTACGTGTGAGCATTACTGCTATGGCTTCCTCTCCTTCCAGGTCAGCTAGCCACGTTGACTCCGATGGAGCTAAGATGTGGAAAAATGATACCATCGAAGAACGTATCTTCTCTGCATCCCTTATCTGCCTTGAGGGCCATTACAATCAATCTCCTGTAATGGGACCTCAGTCCATCGCCAAAGTCACTAGCATTGTCTCTAAGACCCTTGAGAAGACGCATACTTTCAAAGACGTGAGGTGAGCTACTCACTATCTCAGCTTTTAAACCGCGTTTTATACCACCAACATTGTTAACCTATGAGTCGCAGGGAAGTATTATCAAGAAATATCAGAATATGGATCTGGCTGCGCCGCACTGTCTCTGCCACCATTTGTGACCTTAACGAGAAATCACTTGGTGTACGATCCGAGCCTTTTGTGCAGACCAAGTTTCTAGATATCACCACTCCAGAGGTCACTGCCTTGATTATCAAGAATTATGTACCCCTGAAGGAAGCGCTGCAGATGTTGAACAAGCTCATGCACATTGCCCGCAACCTATTAGTCACCACTGATCCTGAGGTGCCCCAAGACTTATCAGCTGCTATCTACTTCGATCACGAGGTATACGAGGCCATTTGTCTTTGTGTTAACGTCACAAGTAAAGGTATCGATGGCGAGATGCCGGAGGACGAGGCCTCCAGAGCCAAGCTGAATGAGATTACTGAACTCTGTAAGCTCCCCCCTCAACCCTTTTTTTTTTTTTTTTTTTTTTTTTTAGTTCACTTGTTAGTATTCGCAAAGTTGATGTTGGCTAATAATAGGTAGGCAAGAAGGTCCTTGTTACCTCCCTACAGCAGGCTCATAACTGGATTGCGAAGAATGACCGCAACAAGATGTTATTCTGGTATAAAGTATTGATCGAGTCCCCGGATGCTGACAGCAATCCGGGACCAGATGATCGGCATGAATCGGTCTTGGATTATCCAGCGCCTAGGAGCATCCATCTTCGTGACGAGATATCTAACTGGCTCAAAAGATCCTCACGGATGTGTGATACTGCCGTTGAAATATGCAAAGAATACTTCGAGGCACAGAGTACTGAGAAAAAGGACCGGTGGCTACCGCACGATGAGAACATCCTTGCTTGGAACTACATGCCACCTGAGACGTGGGCTTGGCAGCCAGATACATATGATGAAGCTGCTGAGGCAATCTCAGCGTGGAACCCCGATGAGACTAACAAATTCGAGCAAGACAGGGCGTATGGCCATGTATCGCACGAACTTGATAAGTGGTGGTACGGTGCGCGTATCCCGAATTCTAATGACTGGAATCTAGACATGTACTCTACCATCGACTCCGTCCCCCAGCGTATCAAAGAATGTGAGGCCAACCTTATGCAACGCTATGCGGCCGCAGAACCCCAAGAAGAACCGAGCGATGTAATTGAGCAACCTATGGAAGACGATCATAATTCCGATTGGCAAGGACAGCCATCCCATCCGTCCCAAAACTTTGTCCCTGAATATGATGAGTACGAGGAAGAAGCTGATGACGATGATTCTTATGGGGAAGGGCCTATGACGGGACTCCTCACCGAAGTGCCCAACATCCTAGACCCCAAGCAAATTGAGGCGCTTCACATGATTGTGAAGTCGTGCATTCTGGATTCAGCCGGTTCTGGTGTGACTCGATTCGGCGAGAACCTTCAGCAAACCCGGTGTCGCATTTTTCTTGCCACCGACTGCGGCAGAAACCTCTTGAGGGAGATGCTTGTCTTCATCGCGGTCTGGGAGAAGGACGAGCAGTCTCTCATATTTCAGATCAGCAGCCAGATTGTCCAGGCGATTCACGAGAACTCTCTAGTCCCCTATGCATGGATGGCTCTTCGAAGCCCCAAGGACATCATATCGCCAGCACAAACAGTCCTACTCCGACTCCTAACCTATCTTTTTCGTACAGCCCTTCTTCCGCCTAAGGACTACGACCCTTTTCCAGACACGAAAGCGGGAGATGTAGAGAAGATCCTCGCGAATGAAGATGTCCGGCTCGGGAAAATGTTGAATTATTTGTACGGACTCTTCCGAAGCCGCATTGTCCCAGAGTGCGTCGCCTTGATGCAGATCCAGGGCGAGGTCCGTAAAGACAGACTAGACCCCACAGACTTCCCAGTCGATAACTGGGACCTCGAGCGCGCAAAGGATGGCTTGGTGCAGTACCTCGACTTTCTTTACACTGTTGCTGACATACATCCTCTCCGTCAACATCTAATTGATTACGAGGCTGTGTACGAGCTTCTTCAGCTGCTTGAAGGTCTTGATGTTGGGGTGGAAAAGGCCCCGTTCCCAGGAGGCCGAAGAAATGACCCTCCTCCTGCTACGCCTTCCACAACTACCTCCACTCCTCAGGCGTCGTCATCCCACAACCCGCCCCCTCCACCACCCCCGCCACCCCCTATATCCGAACCACCACACGAATTCCCTTGGTCAGGCATCAAGGGCCAGGTGCTTTCAATTCTTGCCGCCCTCTTACAGCCTCCACCTGGCCAGTCTTCGCCCGGTAACCCTACAGTACAACTCCAAATTTTACGGCACAATGGAATCGTTGCGCTGCTCAACTGTTGCCTGTATGACGATAACAACCGCTTCTGCCGCGAGCGAACACAACTCTGCCTCAAGTGGCTTATGGATGGGTGCCCTGATGCCTCGGCATTCTTGCAGAACCTAGTGGGCTCAAATCAGGGACAAGCAGTGACACGTCCGCCACTGGGAAACGGAAATGTGACGCAGAACGTGCGAATCGATGGCGTGCCCGGTGAAGTTCGCGTCCAAGTGCGCAGCTCGAGCGCGCCCGCCGGGGAAGTTGGTGAGGTCGTTGGAGACGCAGCCACAGGCACGAGCCTGAGGAGCCGATTAGAGGAGAACAAGAGTCGCAGTGAAGAGCTTGTGAATGATCTACTAGCATTGACGGTAGACACAGCGGGCGAGATGATGATGGCGCCTGATGGGGATGAGACGGAGGAAGATGACTTTATATGATCAATTTAAGGATTATTATATGAAAAAAGGCAAATGGCAATTCATGGTAACGGTTGTGATGGTAAGACTCGGAATTTCGGCCCTCACCTAATGAGATTATAAGCAGGAAAGACGACGAGTTTCATTGAATCGGCGTGGTAATAAAAATATGGGCAGCATCTGGGGTTCGGACGAATAACGATAAGGTTACATCTTTTTACTTGTCATTGCCAATGGGTACCGGCAGGCTGTTTGACTTTGTGGACAGCTTAAGCAGCAGAAAGTATCATAATAAAGGGGGGCTGTTTCCGGATGATCGTCGTTAAATGGAGTCTTCGGCATGGATACACGTAGACAAAACAATTGCGCTTTGTACAAAGAGTTGATACATAAATCTAAACCCTTTAGAGTTCTCTGTCTAGCATGAATGTGCTTCATATGAAGTTGCAAGTTTCTACAGGTTACATGAAATGTATCGCCTGCCCGAGGAGTCTGCTGTCAGCAGCGACCATTCCCAGCAGAACTTCATTTGCTGTGACCTCTAGGACATTGGGCTCTCCTGAGCCAAGCCTAGACTTCACATATTCGCCCATGCCCTTTTCCTTTTGGGCACTCAACAACTCAGCAATTCTAAAAAGTCGGGGCTCCGGATCATCATCATCGAGTTTCCAGCTTGGCTCCTCTCGAGCATCTACGGTGCTTTCTGGCTCTACTACGGATTGGCAGTCGAGTGACATAGATTTCCCCTCGAAAAGGATCCCATCAGCACCAAGTTTACTAGGAGCATGCTGACTAACTTTCAAAGTCCCGTCCGTCTCCGGGCGTTGTAGTCTCTGGGGCACCGTCGTGATTGCACCGATCCTAGATTCATTTTTCGAGTCACATAATGTAGATATGTCCCGGATCACATTGATTTTGAGCCGTTTTGAACTATTTGAATTCATCAGGTCATTTTGTGCGGCTCGTTTTGGTCCTTGGAGGGGACTAAGACTCGTTTTAGAGGTGCTCATGGTTTGGCCGGATTCTCGATAATTACTTTCCCTTTGGCCAGTGTCGGATGATAGTTTTCCAGAACCTCGTTTAGCAACAGCACGTATACTCCCACGAGGCTTCTTTATCTGTGCTATTTCCCCTGAAGTAGTCGAGGATGAAATTAGAGAATCGATATGGTTCATCTGGGATGCCCTGCGCTGTGGGAATGCGAGTGGGTGAGGTGAACTCAGGTTGTCATTGTCATTGAATGTCAATGAAGTGGCTGGCCTTGGTAGGTAGAAGGGACCATCTTTACTAGTATTCCGGTTTAAAGAAGCAGGAACTGAGTATGGCCGAACCGATGGTGATTGCAATAATGGAATAGAGCTGGGGTGTGAGTCAGACTTATTCATGATAGAGCGAGGTATTCGTAAGGGGATGGCACGGGTGCCTCCCGGTGTTGAACGGTACTCTCGAGGCCACATTTGCTGGGGGAGGTAGCCACGCGCCGCTGGTATAGATGAGAAATGTCGGGGATTCCCCGACTGTGGTGGGGGATAGAAGGTAGGTGATGGTTGAAGAAATGGGGAGATGGAAGAAGTGCGCCTCATTATAAACGGTCGTTGGGTCCTAACGGGTTGGTAAAACGCACTATTGTCAATGGGGTCGGACAGACCATCCAGATCCGGTGATGTAACATCATGGGAAATCGTCTGCGGTAGATATTCAGGTTCCGGTACAGCTTGGGCTGACGGTGAGAACCTGCGATGGTTTACTTGTTGCATCTTGAGATGGTGACTAACTTGTGAAGAGAGAAGAAAGCATGGATAAAAATGGACTGTTGGTGAAGTTGTATATGAAAAGTGAAAAAGCAGGAAGACTGGACAAGCATGGATGCATAGATACATTTGTATGTATCGCATGTAGCCATTGTAACGTGAAATAAATAAACACAGGGACATACATATATGTACTACTAACCTACTAGGTACCCAGCAGGTAGCAACTTCCTACATACCTATGTAGGTACTACTATGTACTATGTATGTATGTACTACCTATGTATGTATGTACATATATATCATGGATGTGCCTTACACACGGAGCAAAACCAACATCAATGATGCATGTGGTAGCCATATCTTGGTAACAGCCCCCCTAACCCCCTACCTCCCAAAATCATTAACCGGCCATTTTAGATCTTGTCTCACTGGGAGAGATTCGTACCCTTCCGGCATAGACGACTGTTCTGAGAAGGAAGGGTGCCAAATATATAATCTGACATCTCCCAGTCTTCTGACCCAACTGCATTCCGGGCGTAAAACACATCCCACGGATCCAACTTCTTCTTCAATTTATACAACCTATCGTAATTATTGCCCCAGAATGACTGCTGAAAGTCGGGCTCGATGTAGTCCGATTCGGAGAGATATGCCCCGGACCCTGGCGATACATTCCGCCACGTCGTTCCCCAGTCCGCCGTAAGTACATTGCTCCAAATCGTGATGAGTTCTGTATACATATCTTGAGCCCAAGAAACAATGTCGATAGCATGGAGAACTGTTTTGCGCCACGCGGGGTTAACAGCACTGTCGGGATACCCGGACTTGGGTGCCGCGGCAACGTTGTATGCTGACACTGCTCCGCCCTGATCTACCACATGCCGGATAGCTGCAAAGGTAGACGACAGCTTCGCTGAGTCCTCCCAATTTTCACGCGGGAAAAGCCTGCTACCGTATCGAGCAAGATTAGAGCCCCACGATTCAAGGGGAAAGGAATTATCCCATGCATCGTAGAAATTGGTATACTCCTGGTAGACTGGCTTCAGATCAAGCCCAATGTCCCTTATTGCTTCGAAGAATGGGCCTGCTAGTACCTGTAGCTCCTGCCTGGACATGTTTGGCGCGAACCACGGCACCATGTCCCAGATATAAGCACCACTCGTCGCATTGATATTGAAGTGAGCGTAGTTGCCAGCGTCAGTATACTTGACAAGGTCCGTAAGATAAGCACGCACAGCTAGCCAGAATTGATCAACGGATACCTGCTCCCCAGTGGACAAACTAAAAGTCATCGTCGTAACTGGCATTTCAGGGAATGCCTTGACCACCATTGACGTTACAACCCCGTAAGTCGAGCCGCCCCCGCCTCTGAGAGCCCAGAACAACTCAGGATTATATGTGTCACTGGCCGTAAGGAAGCGGCCATCGGCTGTAACCAATTCCATCGAAAGAACCTAGCACCGATATTAGTCAGGAGATGGCTGAGTGGCTCATGCAAAGGGACTGACTTGGTCCGCCGCCATTCCATATATACTAGACAGAGGCGAGTGGCCACCACCAAGGATATACCCTCCTGAAATGCCAACTGTCTACGGTTTAACGTCAGTTCATCCATCTCATCTGAACAGCTGGTCAATCATTTGCATCCAACCCAGGAGACTTTACCTTTCCCCCCGCACCGATAACCGCAAGGTTCCTCTGGTGCGCTGCCTCGTATGCTTCAAATACTTGGACCCCGGCTCCCATCTTGAAGGCGTGTCCTTTGTACGACCCTTCCTCATAATTGCTGTAGTACTCAATGCCCTTTAGGTTGTGGGTCCACACAGAAAGGGCACCCGCTCCTGTTGACTTTGCGCTGTAGTCGTGGCCAGTATTCTTGATAACAAGTCGCATGTTTAAGTTGCGCGCCAGGTTGATGGCAAGCTGGATATGATAAACAGTGGTCACGTTTACTGACATTGTTGGATATGCACCAATAGTGCAGTTAATGGCGTATGGATTCACCGTGTGAGGCACACATGATGTCCCCTCGAACAAGATTGCATTGATGGACGTTGGATCGTTTGTGCTTTGCACATTTAGCCATTCTCTTTAGTTACAGTGTGTGGAACGGATCCAGGCAAACTTACTGGATGAAAGAGTCATCTGACCAGTGCGAGGTAATCTCGGCACACCTGGCAGCGTCTTCATTTCCGTAGTCACCGTAGCATGGCGAAGCAAATGGCTTTGTTTGAATGAGGCTCCCGCCCAGGAGGAGGTCAAAGACCCTCTCAGTTATATGGCTGGGAAATACATCGGGGTCAGCTGGAAATACCTTGCAGGGCCCAATAATAGACGCATTGCCGGCGGTCAAAGGGTCCGCAAACCCGAACAAGACTATATTGGTTAACCCAAGGTCGGTCAGGTTTGCCAAGACGGCATCGGTAAGCTGATGGGTCTCCCCCGGAAAGAGATCAGCTGTTGCGTTGGAGGAAGCGGCGTCAATCGTTACAAAAGCGGGTTTTATGGTGGACTCGTCGGCAGCTACGAAGATCAAGCAAGTATCATGTCAGCTTCTGGGGTAAAAGAAAATGACGAACTCGTTCGATAACAAGTAACGATCTAACTGACTGATGATGTGGCCGTCCACGACAATCGTCTGGGCAGAACTAGCACGCACAAGTGCCAATACAAGGCTCACTTCTAGCAGCACGTCGATATACATGTTGAGAAGGGTAAAACAGTATGAGCCATTGAGTAAAGAAAGGGCCAAAAAAATGACAAGTCGATGAGGTGGGAGATGAAGGAGATGAGAGCTCACATAGAGACCACAAAGGCTATGCGCAGTATTGATAGCCCATGCTCGTCACACACCACCTTCGAGCACTTTCAAGCCATTCTTCCGGCTACAGTGCATATCATCAAGACGATTAGGGTGGGAATATATGTCCATTGAAGCGGGCAAGATTGTCACATAGCCGGTAAGAAGCCCAAATGGACTTGGTACGGTATAGAACGGATCAGTGGCGTGATATCATTCGTCGACCTCATTAGCCGGTATGAAGATTGCTATCTACATACATAGTAGACCGGGAAGAGGAAAGCAACAGCCACATCGTGATAATGCAAAGGTGTCTCTATAGCCACCACTGAATAATATATGTAGGTAGCTCACTATATAGTACATAATACTTACTTCAAGTTGCAGATATCAATGATGCTACGTAGTGTGTACATATATGTAGTTACCTAGTATGTATAGGCATTAGGTACATACTACCTAACCTTAGTACATACTGTACATTACATATGTACCTATCATAAGTTACTAGGTTAGTTATGTACATGTAGCAAGGAACATTGAATCAAGGATGGGCAGAGATGTATAGAGGGGCAGCGAAGAGGAACAGGAGGGAGGAACAAGAAGGAGGGGCATAGTTATCGGTGATAACCTTGATATCTATTATTTACATTATTACATACCCTAGGTAGTGCCCTAACCTAGTACCTATCATGTAAAATTTTGGTCGCATTGAATGGAAAGGATGGATACAACAACTACTACTGCTACTACTACTTGAATACCGAAAGCAATCTGAATCATACATAAATACATGCATACCTACATACATACCTAATATTGACAAACCTTGAGTTTTCTATTGTTTGACAATTTATAAACTGAAAAGAAGAAAGAGAAAAATGTCTAATCTTCCCGAGACTTTCGACCGTAAGGTTTCCATTGACACATTGCCATATTCTTGCGATTTCCCGCAACTCGACCTGACAAAACCACAGGACCCGTCCATATCGCTGTCATAGGTGGGACGGGGCTCTATAAGATCGATGGCTATACGCCCATCGCCCGTCTTAACCCACTGACACCATGGGGATACCCGTCTGCACCAATATTAATCCTCGAACATGGAGGCATTCCTGTCGCCTTTCTTGCTCGCCATGGGGATTACCACCAGTATGCCCCTCATGAGATACCTGCTCGTGCCAACATTGCTGCCTTGCGCCACATAGGCGTCCGTTGTGTCGTAGCCTTCTCCGCCGTCGGCTCCCTCCAAGAGGAAATCAAGCCCATGGATTTTGTCATACCCGACCAGGTCATAGACCGTACCAAGGGCATCCGCCCTTTCACTTTCTTTGAGGGTGGCCTAGTCGGTCATGTGCCATTCGGCGACCCCTATGACGACAAGATCGCCCAGGTTGTCCGTCAGTGCGCTAAGTCTATGCAGGGTGATGGTGTCGTATTGCACGGGGCCGGAACTGCCATTTGCATGGGTAAGTGGCTAAAATTACCTCAAATCATCTATGTTTTGTGTCCTAGACACCTACACCTCCGTACGTGCGCCTACTAATTGCGCTTGGTGACTAGAGGGACCTCAATTTTCGACCCGCGCCGAATCGAACCTCTACCGTTCCTGGGGTGGTTCGGTCATTAGTATGTCACTGTTACCGGAAGCCAAGCTGGCGAGAGAGGCAGAAATGGCTTTTCAGGTTATTTGTATGGCCACTGACTACGATTGCTGGCATACCACTGAAGACGTAGACGTGTCCATGGTTATGCGCTACATGGAAAGTAATAGTAGAAATGCACGGCGGTTGGTAGGTGCTGTACTGGACGAGTTGTGCAAGCAAGACAACAGTGACTTGGTCACCGGGAAGCATTGGGAGGGTGCGAGCAAGGGCGCTGTCATGTTCTGTACCAAGCCTGAGGGACGCAGTCCCGAGGCACTAAAAAGGGTTGAATACCTGTTCCCAGGCTTCTTGTCGGGGTGAGTGGCCACCCACGAAAATTTCTGGAATTTTTTAAGAAAGCACAAAGGAGTCGTGAGAGGATTAAGGTCATCGATACATAGAAATAGAATCGCTTCCGTAGATTACCGGATACACTGCTCCTTGTATAAAACCTCTTGATAAGTAAGAGGCATAGCAAAGAACACCATATTTGTTCCCGAAAATACACCCATAACACGATAGGAACCTTTACGAACAAGACAGCATAGCCCTCAAGATGTAGAAATATATGATCAATTTTGAGAGTTAACCCTCAAAGATACATTTATGGCCCTTCTGGAAAATAACTTGCTGCAACGTTGCATTGCCTGAATAACCTAACTTCATCTTCGGCAAATGCCCCCACCACCGAATGAAGTAGCCCGCGGTTGTGGAAAAGTACGAAATCTCCCTCTTCCCAGTCATGAGCATAAACCATCCGCGGTGCAATACCAGGGCGCTGAAGCCGGTGTATAATTCCGCGGACCTCGGCAAGATCGTCTTTCACAGTCCCGTCGGCCAGGTGGAGTTTTCGGACAGCAGATGGGTGTACTTGGAGGGCAAGTTTTTTGGTTACTGGGTTGCGCCAACACAGAGGTAGAATCTGGATCTTGTCGTCTTCAATAGGGGGTAGATCATTGAGAGTTACCTCTAGCCCTTGCGAAACCAGGCCTAGCCCGTCCGAGCGGGATTTTGCGTTGCTGATCCATACATATGGATGAGGAGCGTATTCGACCGTAGTCGTACGGGCAAATTCTTTATCAGCCTCAGACAAAAGGTCATACATCAGGTAGCCCGAAACGAACGCAGTAGTGCCTAGGGGAACCTCCAACTCATCACCAGTCCCGTCATCGTACCGGCAAACCTGGCGTCGGCCGCGTGGTACCTTAACGGCAAGGAGTGTAGTTACCACCGGGGGAGCAAGTTCATACAGAGCAGCATCGATGTGCCATCTATAGAACCGCGTAAAATGCAAGTCTTCATTAGCCGGGATGGAAGTCGCGTGAAAGGTCTTGTGATGTGGATGTTTCAGGTGTATATCTCTTAAGCCCTCGTACTCGGGAACAAATCCATTGCCAATGACTTGAACCTGGGGTTGATGGGGAATAGTCTTGAGATCCGGATGAAGAATGCTACGCTTGGCGTCAATTGTTTTGCCATGGCCGTACGAAGTGCCCGACGGGTCGAATCTGCGTGTTAGATCATACTGAGCCCTAGGAGAGACACCATGCTGGTTCTTGAAGACTAGAATCTGGTAGGTGAAAAGGGCGTCATGGATGATGTTAAAGTCAGCATCTATGGTCGTGTCAGCATCTGTTAGGTGACTGTAACCTAAGTGAGAGGCTTACCAGAGGAGGTTACCGATTTCACGGGTATTCTCCTTTATGTGTATGACTTTATCACGACATGTAATGCATAGGTCTTACCAGTAAGGCATTGAATATCAATATTTGAAACAATGGCTCCAAAGTCCATGCGAATGGAGTTAAGAGAAAGAAAAGGAGTTATAACAATGGACGACATGATATTGTTGGAACAGAAAAGGTGGTTCCGTGATCACGGGTAGTTGCAAATAAAGGTTAGAATGATGATTGTTATTGTAGTTGTTAAGTTGGTGGAAAGGATCGATCCTTTCTTATGGGAACGGACCATGTGGGTCACATGGCTGGTCCCACAGTTCCCATAGATATCCCTTTAAACATTATAAAATAATAACGTGTTAAACCTTATTTTAATAAGCTTAGCTTAAAAATTAAAAAATAACGGGCTACGCTTATTAACATTATTTTTTAACCCGTGTATATATATATATTTATTAAGTTTTATTATCCGCATTTTTTTTTTAATAAAAGGGCTTTATTTGCACCTTAATACATGGAAAAAAAACTGAAAAATGCCGGCCGTTTAAACGCTTTAATTAACTTTAAACACATAACCTTAAATAATTTATAATTTAAGAATCGTATTAAAATGTATTTAAAATTATTAAAACCGTTTTAATTAAAGCTTTTAAACGATATATCGTTTAAATAAATGCGATTAATAATTATAAAGTTATTTAAAAAAAAGTGAAATATATGTTTTACCGTTAACTTAGCGTTAAGTAAAAAGCATTACATAATATACAAACCACTTTAACTTATATTATTTTTAAGGTAAATTACAACTTTTAAACTTAAATACCTTTGTAATAAATAATCGCATAAATTTAAAATATATATTATTTAAATTATTTAATTAAAACGGTTTTAATAAAGTTAAATGCATTTTAATTAAATTCTTAAATTAAAAGTTATATTAAATCTTTTAATAAAAACTAGCTTTAAAGCTCGGACATTTTACGCTGCGATTTTAATGTACCGGGGTGTAAATAAAGCTTATTTATTAAAAAAAAGGGTATAAATAATAAAACTTTATTTATTTTAATAAATTTAAATTATAAATTTATATTTATATATTCTTTTAATTATATCGGTTTTTAATTAATTATAACGATTAAATAAATTAAAAAAATAAATATAAATTTATAATTTAAATATATAATATTAAATTTTTATTAAAATATAATTAATTTAATTAATTAATATAAAAATAAAATTAAATAAAAAGTTTTATTATTCGCACCTTTTTTTTTTTTAATAAATAAGCTTTATTCGCACCTTAATATAAAATTTCTCCGGCCTTCCTTCAAAAAAAAAAATCCAAAAGTGATTCATCGGCCCGTGGCCCTCCGCAAGCTCCGGGACGGGCCTTCGAATCACTTTTAGATATTTTTTTTTTCAGGAACCGCTGCGCTGGCCGTAGAAATTTTGCTCGTCCAATTAAAAGACTATCTTAGAAAGTTAAAAAGGGGTTAAAAGTCGGGAATGGGTGACGGAAGGAAGGCGTAACCATCCGGAGGATAAGGTTTAACAAGCTGTGGCAGCAGCCATGGAGATGCCCACATGGCAGTAGCCATGGATAGCCACGGGAGTGGCTATCCACGTCCATGGCCATGTCCTAACATCACCCCCCTTTCAATGGAAAGGATAACGTCCACGTTATCCAAGTCCAATACATACACACATGTGTGTTAATCCCTGATACTAATCTCTAAGCTGACCCGTGCTGCTTCAATAATTGAAGTAACTCCAGACAGTCCTCCTAACGGGATACATGTGCTTAAACCCTAAATGGTCAAGGTGGTGTTGGGTTGTCTGAGGCTCTGCCGATGGCCTGTGCGTTGAGGCTCTTGCGGCTCTGCTGATATATAGGGATATGGTCAATGAATAAGGATGTGGTCCATGGTTGATCAATGAATAAGGATGGGGTCCATGGTTGATCAATGAATAAGGATGGGGTCCATGGTTGATCAATGAATAAGGATAGGGTCCATGGATGAATAACGATATGGGCAATGGATAAGGATGGGACGGTTGTTGATTAACCCTTCAACAACCAAAAGGTCTGAGGATTTTCTGGGTGAGCATATTGCTCACCTTTCGGATGAACCGGGATGGTATGGGGGTTGGAGGTCTTCCAACCGTAGCAAGAGATGGGACTCAAAAGGTCAATCAGTCAATCAGTCAATCAATATATAGAAGAGAAGAAGAGAGCTGAGCTCCCAGCGTCTCAGGCTGGCTAGCTATATATACACCGATAAGGTTCAGCAAGCTGTGGCAGCAGCAATGGAGATGTGCCCATACGGCAGCAGCAATGGAGATGTGCCCATACGGCAGCAGCAATGGAGATGTGCCCATACGGCAGCAGCAATGGAGATGTGCCCATACGGCAACAGCTATGGATAGCCATGGGAGTGGCTATCCACCTATCCACGTCCATGGCCACCTATCCACGTCCATGGCCATGTCCTAACAAAAAGCGTTGAAAGAAACGCACGGCTATGGTTGACAAAGTTTGAGACAGCTGGCATAAAGGGATGCAGCCAATAAAAAGCGTTTGCTTTAATGGAATGCAGCCAATGAAAAGCTTTTAAAAAGAACGCACGGCTGTCGGGCAGCTGGCGCTAAGAACGATCTGACCAATCCTGATTTTCCTGCACGGGTTTTTTGGGAATTACAGGGGTATTTGATGACGTAATTAATTCAATAATTTCCCATAGTAATTTTCTGAAAAAGTTCCAGTATAAAAATATCCTCCGGATGGATTAAAATTATAACGTAAAAAATTTAAGTTTTAAAGTTAATTTTTATTAAAAAATTTAATATAACTTTTAATTTAAGGATTAAATAAAAGTGCATTTTATGTCGTTTAAATTAACTTAATTAAATAATTTAAATAATATATATTTTAAATTAATGCAATTATTAATTATAAAGTTATTTAAGTTTAAAGATTATATTTTATATTAAAAATAATATAAATTTAAGTGGTTTATATATTATATAATACTTTTTACTTAACGTTAAGTTAATAATAAAACGTTTATTTCACTTTTTTTTAAATAACTTTATAATTATTAATCGCATTAATTTAAAACATATATTATTTAAACCGTTTAATTAAAATAATTTTAATAAAGTTAAATATATTTTAATTTAACTTTTAAATTAAAAATTATTTAAAGTTATATGTTTAAAATTAATTAAAGCGTTTAAATAACCGACATTTTATCGCTTTTTTCCATATATTAAAGTGCAAATAAAACCCTTTTATTAAAAAAAAGAGGTGTAAATAATAAAACTTTAAATAAAAGATTTATTATATATATTACTTATTTTTATTATTAAATCTTTAATTATTTTAATAAATTTAAATTATAAAGTTTATATTTATATATTTTTTTAATTATATCAGCTTTTAATTAATTATAATAATTAAATAAGTTAAAAAAAATATAAACTTATAATTTAAGCTTATAATGTTAAATTTTCGTTAAAATATAATTAATTAATTAATTAATTAAATAAATAAAAATATTTAATTACGTTTATTTTATTTATTAATTATTAAATTTTTAATTAATTTAAACGTAAAATTTAAAAACGTTTATAAAATAAATTATAAATTATTTTATAATTAAGTTAAATTAAATTATTATTAACGCGGCATTAACGTAATTACATCTTATTTTATTATAATAGTTTTAAAATAAAAAAAAATAAAAAATAAATAAAACGTTTTTTAAAACTTTTTAAACGTTATAATTAAATAAAAAAAGTTTTTAAAGTTAAATATTATAATTACTTTTATTAAAAACTTAGTTTAAAACGATTTAATTTAATTATTATATCGTGATTATTAATAAATATAATAATTTTTAACATAATTTTAATTAAAAAAAATTAAAATATTACGTTTTTAAAAGCTTTTTAAATATCGTAATTAAATAAAAAAGGTTTTTAAAGTTAAATATTATAATTATTTTTATTAATAACTTAATTTAAAATTATTTAATTAAATTTTTATAATATAATTATTAATAAAGCCACCTGTTATATGCCCTCGAACGCTCCTTTTATTAAAAGTAATTAAATATATAAATAAATAATTAAGGTTTTTAAATCTTAGTTAACCTTTTTAATATAAATTTCTTTAATTTAATCTTATAATACTTATATTAAGATTAACATTTAATAACTTTGCTTTATTTTTTTTAAATTTATTTTTATTTTATTGGCAATTTTAGTTATTATAAAGGGGTTAATAGATTCCTTAAAGGGCTTATAGCCCTTTTTTATTTTATCATTTTTCCTGCTTACTTACCTTTTTCCTACTAAGATTTTACCTTATTAACTATATGCTAAAAAGGGGTTTCCTAATTTACCGCTATTATTACTTATTTTATTATTACTATTTTCTTTTATAATAATCTTGGATTATTAAAACCTTTATTAAGTAACGGTTTTTATTATTAAGAATAAGGACTTATTATAAATATATTAATTAAATCCCGATATTATAAATTAAATATTCCTTAAAGTTATTAACTTATTACCTTATATTAAATAGGAGTTTTAAACGCCCTTACCCTCCTAATATTATATTATCTAAAATTAGAACTAAAATATAAAAACGTTATTATTTTTTAATAAATAACATATTAACTAATTTAAGGTTAAATAGGTGATTACTTGCATTAATAAGCTGGTTCTTGGCGTTGCTTAATCTAATTACCTAAGATTTTTTATATTAATATAATAGGAACCCTTTTAAGAAACCCCCTTATCCCTTAAACTTAAACGTTTTAAACATAAATTTATAAGGTTTATATCTTTAGTAACGGCAGGAACCCTGTAAATTTTATAGATTTTAGAAGTTGTGTTGTAAATTTTGAAAAACGTGTCGTTTTTTAACATTAAAATTCTTATATTATAACTAGGGGTAATTTTCTAGTTTATTAAGTTATAATTGTTTTAACGTATCTTTTAACACAATTTAAAAGATAATCGGGTAATTATACTTTTTTTTTTTAATAGTTATAACTTATAAGACTTTTTTAATGACTTATTAAACTTAAATAATGCCTTTATTAAGACAAATATTAATATTTTTAATTTTTCCGATATAAATTTTAATTTTAA